TTATGCATCTGTTTAGTTCAATATCAGTGCAGTTCAATAAACTACCGTCACTAATAATAAAAGTTCTTTTTATTCGTTTCTTTTTTTTAAAAGACAACTCCTGCATTAGGAATATACCTTGTGTCTCGGTGGACTTTACAAACACACATGAAACGGAAACAAAGAACACCCAGACTCAGAACAACAATTTGTGGATTACACAAAGTGTCGTCCCATGTGGGGTTTGATCCCACAACACTCGGCGTAGTAGGTAGTCCGCAGTTTTCAAGTGATATAACTAATTAACAAAAGAGAAAACAAAAAATTAATTTTCATTTTGTTTCTGGTCAATTGCTACAAAGCGTGCACACACTGACAAATACAAACAAAGTTTTTGTTGTCTCCAACAAACAAAACAAAATATGAGCGACACCAACATCTGCATATTTAATATATCTTTAATAAATCATTTCAACTTCATCCAAGTAATAGATAATTCTATTAATGTATCTGCGTCACAATATTAATAACTACGAGTTCCGTGTTGGACTCTCGCCCAACCGCTTACTTCTGCTGGAATAGTAATAAACCAACATACAGAAGTCCTAATTATAGCTTTTGCATATAAACATCGTGAATTTTGACGATACGTCTGCTGATATTGTAACAATTAGATGAAATTGTTATTTTAAAAAGACAAGTCCCGTATTAGGCATATACCCTGTGTCGCGAGGAACTTTACAAACATACATGAAACGGACACAAAGAACACCGAGACTCAGAACAACAATTTTTGAATCACACAAAGTGTCGTCCGAGTCTTGTGGGGTTTGATCCCACAAGACTCGGCGTAGTAGGAAGCGGCGTGGCGGCCGCTTAAACCACTACGCCATCCGTGCAGTGCAGTGCATAGTCTATACAAACAAATAAAATTGGAGTGTCTGTTTGTAATATTAAAATAACCGCTTTTTACTAAATGCATATGTATTTTTACACGGTACATATGTCAAAATATAATTTTTTACCATTTTTGTCTGTCTGTCTGTCTGTCTGTTTGTTCCGGGTAATCTTTGGAATGGCTGGACCGATTTCGACGGGACTTTCGTTGCCCGCGGTTATAACAACAAACGCGGGTAACACCGCGGGTCTCAGCTAGTTGTAAATAAGTTTAGTTGCTATGAAATAAAGAACGGTCAATAAGCTGTTTTTTAATTGATTGCTTTAAAGTGTTACAATGTTTTTCTCGCATCAAATGTAAATAAAACAAATTTCATCATCTGCACTGTCCTGAAGTTATCCCTATAGGCGTTGGGGTCCGCAGTATGTGTAACAAAAGGGTTTCCCCCTATTTCTTATATGGCCGACCGCCTAATAAAGCCAACCACTCACACACACACACACACCAAAGAATTAGGTAAATTAGGATGAGCAAAATAGATAGAGTGAAGAAGAAAGAAGAAGCTAGGGCAAGAGATACCGTCAGTCTCGAAGAGGAAAACAGCCAGGGTGGTGTACCTGTGTGTTTGTCCTGTCATTGAAGACACTACTGCGACAAAGACTGAGTTTCCTGTTGGTCTAGTGGTAAATGACCCTGGCCGCTAAGTCAGAGGTAGTTGGTTCGATTCCCACCCAGGACAAATTCTGTAACGAGCACAATCATTTGTTCTGTGTCTGGATGTAAATTATCTATAAAATGAATGTATTTAGAAATATATAAGTATTTTTATCTACAGTGTGGTTGCCGTAGTACAGGGTCTACCTAGTTTGTGATCAGACGGCGGTATGTGAGATGTTTAAAGTTATTATTATAAAGACATCAACTTGATATCAAATAATTTATTCCGCTTCTAATGTTTTCATAAGAATTACTAAACACATTTTCTGGTTCTCACAAATAAATTAGAAATACACTCACTCTTTTATAATTTCTTTAGCAAAGAATTAAGCTAATAAATCGTATTAGAAACGAGCCAGGAATCACAGCAATAGATTTTATATGTTATATTGTACATCTCTAAGAATATCTTTACAACGCTTTTTACTAAAATACAAGACAACAGTAGGGCTGTCACTATGATTCACTGTTGTGTCTAATTACCCAAAACATGGTTCACAATGCTTTTAGATTCGAATGTGATTTTGAGTTCATTGTTTTGCTTTCCTCTTAACATAAACACTACATATCTTTTTTTTATCGTTGGCTAGTGGCGTACGCGTAAGTCCTTCCTTAGAAGTGTTATTGATTTCAATTTATATTTCTAACGGGTTTTGGAAAATGTACGAATTCGAAAATAGAAGTATTGAAATTATTTATGGTCGCGTACAATATTTTAAAAGTATTAAATGACATAATAAACTTTTAAAAAGTACGCAATACCTACATCCTTAACAATTGTAATAAACCCTATTTTTCATTACCTAATTTGCCAAACATCAAAGGTGGTATTGTTCCACTTTTATACTCTTCCAAATACAAATAGTTTTTTTTTTATTAGTTCATTAATGACGCACAAAAACTGCCGAATTGAGAAACACCTCTATGTTTTTTTAAAGGGGGTTAAATGCAATTTTTAAAACTCAATAAAGATAAAATATAGTTCTGTAATTAAACGTAAATATGTATATACTTAGGCTTATTAATAAATAATAGCAACTCTATTCAAAATGTATCACAAATCCAAGGCTACAAAGTGTCTATTAAGTCGTTTTAAATGAACTACATTAATTATAGTGACCCTGTACTCGCACTTTCCGCACTTTTCACCACCCATCTCTATTAGTGACTATCAATGAATTTTAAAACGTAACGGCTGTTATTTAAAGTTATAAATCGTAACAGCTGCTTTTCGGCGTAACACGTGATAAATTAAACTGCGGCCATTGTATTTCTAAATTACGTTAGAAAAAAATCACAGATAAGAAAGAAATGTTAGAAACGTTTCTCGATAGAAAACAGTATTGGTTTAATAAATGTCAGTAGTTTATTTTATATTTTCAAATAACGGCGAAATGAAACGTATTTTTTTTCTTTGCGAATTCAAGTCTCGGATGTTTATACTGGCAACTTTTTATACAAATCTTAAAGTTTAATTTACATATAAACTTTTTTAAAATATTGTTTTATAATAATGTAATTAAACAAAAAATTCTTATTACTATGCTAAATAAGTTTCATAATTTAAATATTTTTCCCTAAAAGTTAACATGAAAACAACCATCAGGCAATTAAAATCAAAATCAAAAGGCAGCTGGCAAATTTTATTTTTATAGGTTAATGTTATGATTCTTACAATAAGCTTTTATGTATATGTAATTATTAAATAAGAAAAGAAAGAAATCTTAGATTAGCGCATTCCAATAGACAACTTAACTTGTATTATAAAAAAATATAGGTTTTCTTAATAATGTGGGTGTTCAGCGCGGCAGCACCGAGGCAGATTAATTCTAGAATAGTCAATTTTTTCATCATCAGCAGCCTTTATTAGTCTACTGCTGGACGTAGGCCTCTCCTTAGAAAGGAAGGTTTGGCCTACTATAACACGCTGGCCAGACGGGTTGCTATAGGATTTGTTTCAAATTTTTCCTCTTTGCAGTGCTGTTGTCCTGTTTAGTTTGCTCCCTTAGTCGGCTGTTACGACCTCCACGGGGATAATAGGGGTAGTGACACTCACACAGTATTTTTAATGCATTACCACACAGGCAATCGATTATTACTCACCTGACATCGATAAATTGGTAATCGTATCCAAATGTAATTCGTTAAAATATTTCTAAACTTTGTAACTATTGATTGTTATTCAGATATACTTTAATGATACTCCTCTTACTAAATACTAAAACTATTATAGTACCCTCGTAAATACAATTCAGCCAATCTCTCTTCGTTTTCAAACCATGAACATTAACTATCCGCTGACAGACGTGTAAACTATTGAGTAAGTGGCGCCGAAGGTTGACCTTTCCAACAAGGTCTGTCTATTTTCACTTCCAAGAATACATCTGCGTTAAAATGTGAACACGGAGTTCGGTTAGCTAACGACGTCTATTCGAGTGTGAAGTTTCGAAATCTTTCAGTAAAATAAGAAATATTACGGTAGTTAATAGTTATGCGAAGTAAATTTACATGTGTTTTGTTTTCATGGTAATTATTGCTACAGAAATCAGTACTCCATTCTGTTGTAAAAAAACGTTACGAAACCTACATCTTGAGTGAATAAGATGAACAGGTAGGTAAAGTCCTTGTGTTTCGCAATAATTCTTGCAACTAAAGCGTTTACAAGAATTACAGCGAAACAATTTCACTTCAAAGTAGTTTGACTAATGGAGTTCTTCAGGTTACATCTAACGTTCCGCCGCCTCCTTCTGCGAGCAAGTTATGCTTGCGAAGGAGATGGCGGAGCGGGACCGGGAGAGGTTTAGAACTCTCCCGGCCCGCCAGGCCCGGGAACGGGCCCCGTACCGCAGACTACTTCAGCGCAGAACGACCTCCGTCCTCCATAAGCGCAGGCCTGGGGGTGACAGGTGAGGTCATCTGTCACCCTAGCAGAAGCAGGCCGGGGTGGCGGCGAGACGTGCTGCCAAAGGCGCGCGCCCCTTTGGGAGCACAAAGGGAACATGAGGGTTCCCACATAGGAGGGGGTCATCTACACGCCGTGGATGGCCCGAGGTACGTCGGGGTACCAGGGATTTCCTTTCTAGGGTACACCTGGTTCCCCGACTACCGCACAGGAATAAAGTTACATCTATGAATCTGCAAATCTTTTGGACGCTGACTGCTAAACCGTGGGTTCAATTACCAACCCAGGACAAATATTGTGTGATGAACACAATCAGCAGCCTGGTAACCATAGGACAGACACTGCCTAGTTTGTGATCAGAGGGCCGTGTGTGTCATGTACACCGTCCAAATCGAGTCGTCAAGGAACGACATCGATCAAACAAATTCCAATCTTTTGACCTGGTTTTTAACCCTGATATGAATATCGACACGTGATCTGACGTTAGACTCTCTTTGTCAACAGGAGACTGTTCGCACAAGCAGTAACAGCGGCGGTAAAGTGACAAGCTCTCAGACCCGCAGCGTTCAAGAGTTCGATATAGACCAGTGCTGGGACGAACGGGTCCTCAGGAAACTTGTGAGTACATTAAAACATAGAACGATACTTTAGAAATAGAAAGATAAGATTTTTTTTCTATATAAGAATGACAATAAAGGTTAAATTACTAATTTACTTATACATATCTGCTTACAAAATTGACCTTTTGTTATGCGTGGAAACCCCCAAGGGGCTACATCTCACCAGGAACAAACTGCATGGTTTTATATCAGGCTTAGATTAATTAACACCATACAGTGTTCCATCATCGGGTCATATGCGGACTGCACGGATGGCGTAGTGATTTAAGCGGTCGCCACGCCGCTACCTACTAAGAGTGTTATGGGTTCAAATCCCACATGGGACGACACTTTGTGTGATCCACAAAATGTTGTTCTGAGTCTGGGTGTTCTTTGTGTCCGTTTCATGTATGTTTGTAAAGTCCCCCGCGGACAGGATATATTCCTAATGCGGGAGTTGTCTTTTAAAAATAATAATAATTAAGGCATATTGCTAAGGTTAAGGTATATATTATCTAACATAATTACTACAGTGAATACTAAGGTATTTCCCACCTACTACGCTTTGTTATATTGTTGCGAAATGAAAACAATTAAGCCTTCCTGGACAGACAATAAACAATTATGATTTTGTACATTAGATAGGCCTAACAGCAGGCTATTTAATTCTACGGATGTAACGATAAAAGAAACACAATAGCAAAGTTGTCCTAAAGCTTTGTGTTCTTTTATTTGTTGTATAAATATGGTAAACGCAAGCCTCAAGTCAATTAGAAACTTAGTAAACTTTTAAATTAATTTCCTAGTAAATTTTCAACCATTTGGTTCTTCCAGCGTATTTTACTTACTAGAATAGAAATTGCGAGAGTACAAATTCAACAAGAAAAAGTTATTTCATAATAGGTTTTTATTTGACATAAAACACGATCTTTGGTCTGCCAATTACCAAATAAATTAGGATATATTCATGACCACAATCATAAATTTACCAAAGTCATGCACTGCGTGGATGGCGTAGTATTTTAAGCGGTCGCCACGCGCTTGTATTACCCTATCTTATCATCATCGTCAAAATCAACAGACTTTAATAGTCCACTGCTGTACAAAGTCCTTTTCTTAGAAAGGAGGTTCTGGCCTACTATTCCACGCTGCCCAGACGGGGTGGCATAGAGTTTGTTTCCTTCTCTTTGCAGTACTGTTGTCCTGCGTAATTTGCTCCCTTAGTCGGCTTTTGGGTGGTGACACGCCGTATTCCTCATTCGTCACCACACAGATGTCTTATCACCCTTTTTCCAATTAATAATGCCTACCTCGTCATGTTATCAAGTCACATTATCACCATAATTAGTTATTATAAATTATAAATGAAGGTAGTCATTTAATAGATCTCACAGATAAATTCTAAGAAAGCTGTCTTGTTGGTTTACCTTAATGAGGAACTTTCCTTCAAGTAAGAGCTTGTTCGCCAGGGGTATGGTCACCATTACTGATGGTATTATCGGCCTCCGTATTAGGTTAACCGGTTACTTATGTACCATCAAGTTGGGACTCATCTTTACTAGGGCATCTTCTGTTACCTTGTTTATTGTGGTAATATTTCTAGAATTGTAAAAGAACTATGGGCGAGAGAAGTCATAGGAATTATCATGAACAAATCGTTCACGCAAGAAAGCCAATTGTTATTTGGCGACTGCATAACTAAATATAATTATTCGGCTTCAAAGTTAACATCGTAAATGTGACCCCCTTCCCCTCCTACCTTGAAAACCATTACTTTTTTTTTATGTTAGAGGGGGCAGACGAGCAGACGGGTCACCTGATGGAAAGTGAATATCGCCGTCCATGAACGTCTGCAACTTAGGAGTCACAAACGCGTTGCCGGCCTTTTAGGAAGGAGTACGCTCTTTTCTTGAAGGTTTGAAAGTCGTATCGGTCCGGAAATACCGCAGACGATAACCCGTTCCACAGATTGGTTGTGCGGGGCAAAAAGTGTCTCGAAAAGCGCACAGTAGTGGTCAATTACTTACTTTAAATACGACAATTACGCCGCGGATCCGCTAGCTTACATTGCCGATATTGTGTTTGATAAAATGTGTTTGTTTGTAGAGGATTATCCTCTACACATTTTACCTCTTAAAATATTAGTATACATAGAACACAATTTAAATATCTATAACTACTAAATATGTAATCAGATATGAATGAGTCATAGATAACAGTATAAACGAACCACTTTCATTCACAAGTTGTCCCAGGACGGGCCGTCGAGCGGGCTAGTCGCTGAGTCACCTTGCTCCAGCGGCCACCTGAGAGCCAAGTGCGAGTTTATTTCACTACTACTCGATCGTGACGGTGACTGCGTTCGGCGCTGCGATTGGTCCGCACTGAAATCTCCACCAATCGCAACGCTAAACGCGCTCGCCGTCGAGAGCAAGTCGATGTGAAATAAAGTTACACTCAGCCCTCTGAACACAGACGTGAACACTGTTACGGCTGTTACGTGTTATTAGCACCTCAATGGGAAACAGTCTGTGTTATATCTGGAAATATACTATGCGTGGGCTTTACGCGACTTATGCAAGTTTATATAGGTTTATCATATGTATATCTGAAGTGGCCATGGTGAACAATATTCTTTGAAATATTATATACGCCGAAGCTTGACTCCCCAAATTGCTAAAGCAAAAAAAACTTTACTTACACCACTATGGGATTGCATTCAGGGAAATATCAAACCGCAATTTTTGAAGTTGTAGTCGATGTATCGCCGTGCCAAACCTAGTATCTTTACGACTGTTTCTAAGCTTTCATTTAGATGAACTTGTGTTTATAATAACCCAGGCTCATAATGGATATCTATTGCATCTATTAAAGGTTCTTAAATTAAATACTTCAATAGCGATGTCAGTCAGTATTCTCTTAAAACACCTACCAATAAATAACTCAAAGTCATTCTGTGGAAAGTACAGCAGTGTGTGAGGCTTTCTCGTGGCGACGATCGACTCGTGCGCTTGTCATAGCGTGACACTTTACTAACACTCTGAGGGGTATAAGTCACAAGTTGTCAGCGACTTTAGTTGTCGTCGTCAAAGATATTGAACCTACAATGTTTAACTTATAAAGTTTAACTTGTTAATTTCTTTGATTATACATCCCCACCCAGGACATGTATGATGGCCACGATCATGTATTTTGCGTCAGAAATTTTAGGTATCATCATATCAGATATCAGGCAGTCTGATGAACGTGTGAGTATAAAAAAACCGTACCCAATCGATCGAATGAGAGGCCGCATCTGGCATTACTTGTTGTAGGTTCATGCAAAGAGTTATGCTATTACTAAATTTGTAATACCGTTACATGGTTAGAAATTAATTGAGGGTTAAATTTAAATTAATATACCCCGAGGTATTTAAAAATACATATGTATTTAAACTTTTAAAGGAGATTCTCGATTTAGATATTTTGTTTGTGCGCATATTAGACTATACAGTCACAGTCTGTTGTAGGGGAGTTCTCTTTTTTAAAGACAATCATATAGCAGTTATAAAATTAAATAGCAGTTACACAGTATTATTTCTTAAGTCAACTTAAATGAATGAAAATTCAGCTCTTAAACAAAACCTCTTATTTAAAGTGAGGTGGGTTGGGTTAAAGGTTGTTAACAGCAAAAACTGCCACACTATTTTTTCTAATCGCTTTTCTGTCATAACTTACGGCTGGTACTATACTGCGCATGCGCATCAAATCTGTGTGTCATCGTCAGTTATCTATTAGAATGTATGGATAAATGTCACAGCGGCTCGTGGATTTACACATATTGAGTTAATAAGAAAGAGGCGGTTTCAAATAGTCAAATATTTGTTAGTAGTAAGTATTAGTTTGATGAAATTAAGATTTTTGCAAACATCGATGATTTGACTCGATTAAAATTTATAACTTAGGTAACAGAGTTGCGTACAGCGCTGCCACAGCGTCGAACTTCATCGCTGTTTCCTTAGAGTATAACACTGCTGGATTGAGTCAATTAGTTATAAATCTAGTCAAATCATCGATATTTGCAAAAAAATTCTTACTACTGTGTAGCGTCTCCAATCATAGGAGGGACTTACGATTTATAGAAGAGTCAAACTTCGGTACGAATGGGCCACCGATCGCAGTGATACCACAGCCTCACCTGGGTGTGGGCTCCGGTTTCTGGGTCCCCTGAATCTAGGGGGGGGGAGGGCTTAGGGCGGCTATGCACTGGAGACTCTTATGTTGCAGGTGTCCATGGGCGTGTAGGTAGTCCCTTACCAGCAGGGGGCAACAAACAAGCAAGCGTGTCTGCTTGTTTGCCTTTCCAAACCATAAAAAAAAACCAGTCCAGTTTTCCCCAATACAAAGATGTTTAGGTAAAGAGCAGAAAAAATTGAGTCTTGACTGACAATTTAACTCGTCTTTTAAAAAAAGCAATACTGTGTCTATTACAAAGAATAAATATACGAGACAAAGAAAACAAACACATAATGTTGTCAACAGCAACAATTGCGTCGTTACGACTGTGGAACGTTCTTGGCAATGAAATGTTTTTAATTTAGACTGTTATAAGCTCAAGGGTTAATGATATGCATATTTTTACTTTACATAACTCGTTGATGAATGTTATTGACTATAGCTGGCAGAAGCCCGTGGCTTCGTTCGCATTATTCTAGATTTCGTTTATTAATTTGAATATACCTTGAGAGTAAAAGGTATCTTCATCATCAACATCCTATGCTAGTCCACTGCTGGACATAGGCCTCTCCTTAGAAAGAAGGTTTTGGCCTACTATACCACGCTGGCCAGACGGGTTGGTATAGGGTTTGTTTCAAGTTTTCCTTCTTTTTGCAGTGCTGTTGTCCTGCTTAGTTTGCTCCCTTAGTCGGCTCTTACGACACCCACGGGATGAATTGGGGTGGTGACAATTTGTATTCTTAATCCGTCACCACACGGACAAGGTATCTTAAAGGCTGGGAACGCGCTTGGGACTGCTGAGTTCAGTGTTCGTGGGCTGCGGTAGTCTCGTTTGCATATACAATATACATATAGTTATTTTATTAAGCAAACGAGTAGATGGATCACCTGATGGTAAGTGACTACCGCTGCCCATGAACACCTGCAGCTCAAGAGTCACAAGTGCGTAGCCAGTGTGGAGAAACGGGTGTCATGTCCCTCCAGCACAAATGGAGGATCCTCCGACCGATCCTCTGGCGGGCGGCGGCCCAAACTGCACGGCAGTCGCATAAGCTACGATTGCACCATACCGAGGCAGTCAATAGCGCGCAATTTCTCGGCTTCCTGTAACACACTTCCGTTTCTATTCACGAAAGTGCTCCCAGAGATAGAAAAGCGAGAGAAAACATGTTACTGTTCAAAGATATATTCTTCTCTCTATAGCGCATATGGTAACTGTAAAAGATTTGTAAGCGTCGTCGCGGATAAAGGTTTTATCGACTTCACTGGATTTTGTGGAATCTAAGTTACTTTTGTTTTTTAAACTCGTGAGTCGCGTTGCGATCCTGAGTTTCAGTTTGTCTGGTGACGGCCATCTTAGGTCAAACACGGTCAAAAAAGTATTTATGTGACCCCAATGACCTTCCGGTAGATCTTCAGTGTCATTTCATCCCTGTTATTCCAGTTTCTCATTTTTTATTCGTTAGATTTGATTATCAATTGTACTACTAAAGTTTGAAAGAGCAACAAGGCCTACTCAATAAAAAATATTTGAGTTTGAGTAGCATCAATAAAGGCACTAAAATAAAACTCAAAAATTTCATTTCGTGTTGCTAAAATCGAATAAAAATCGTTAGAGCATTGCATCGAAACATCGTCTGTTGAGGTTTGTTGTCGGGTCAAACAACAAAAGCGACAGCATGCTTCCTGTTTCCGGTGAGAGAGTGGTTCCGGTACACAGTTACTGTAAAAAACGTCACTTATTGACAATTAGAGCGCTCGTGCAGAAATATTAGGGTAGGTCTACAGTAACTCGGCAATTTGTTTTAAATCAAATAATCATCACAATTAACTGTGGCAATATATTGTTTAGTTTCTTTGATGTGACTTGAATATTCCGTCTTCTTAATCCGTGTAGTGACGGATTAAGAATATGGAATGTCACTACCCCAATTCATCCCGTGGGTGTCGTAAGAGCCGACTTAGGGGGCAAAAAAAAACCCAGGACACCAGCACTGCAAAAAGAAGGAAAACTTGTCACAAACCCTTTACCAACCCGTCTGGCCAGCGTGGTATAGTAGGCCAAAACCTCCTTTCTAAGGAGAGGCCTATGTCCAGCAGTGGACTATTAAAAGCTGTTGATGACTTGGACTGTCTAGAGAGCCGTATACGTGGTATATATTAATGTCAAGTTACGTTCCGTTGAAAAACAGATGAAGACAATTTTTTGGCAGTTTTTTTTTGTCAAGAATATTGAGGACTGCTAAGGACTGGCCTGTTGGTCTATTGTTTAGTGATTCTGGCAGTTATTGTCAGAGGTTGTGGGTTAGATGCCGAGTTCGATCGAGTCAGGACAAATAATTTTCTGCTGAGCACGATCGTTTGCCGTGCCTGGGTGTAATTTATCTATAATATGTATATATTTATTTATTGACTGCACGTCTGGCGTAGTGGTTTAAGCGGTCACCTTGCTGCTTCCTACTGCGCTTTATATGTGTAGTGAACTATGGGCACTTGACTGAATGTGAACTTTGTGTGAATTTCGGTGGTCATATTATGTAACCTCTGTGAACTCTCTACCTCTCTCTACCTTACTAGATTTTTACACCACCCTAAGGATGACTGGCAGAGAATGTCTTGGGCATTAAGTCCGCCGATGTACAAATGTGCATAAACGTTAAATAAATAAAAAATATATTTCACTAGTAGTAGTGTGTACTAGCCCTTATGTCATTACCACAACCGCAATGCAAATAGGGCCACACTGCACAGTTGTAGTCGCCGGTAGCGTCGGCTAGTGTGCACACGGGTTAATAATAGCTTTGTGTATTATATATCTTGTCTCGCCTCTAGTTCTGACGCAATGTTAAGAGGATTTCAGGAATTATATGTAAGTGCGTATACACTCATACTGTTCCAGTGTATATAGAAAAAAAAACCGTGTCTAACCCCACTCTTCGTCTCCCCTTACCACTCACTGCAGCCACCAGCACTTACAGAGTGATATTTTTTATTTATTTTACTATACATATACAATATTATGGAACAGCAATAAACATTGAGAATTAAGCAAGACAAGGAAAACTTGACACAAACTCTATGCCAACACGTCTGAACGACGTGGTATTGTAGGCCAAAACCTCCTTTCAAAGGAGCGGCCTATGTCCAGCAGTGGACTCTTAAAGGCTTTTGATGATGATGATGATGAGTTAACGTAATAATTTTTGGCCAGTTGATGGATATGATTAATTCATCTTGATATAGTTGGAATAAATTAATAATAGTTATAACAGTACGATTTTGTTAACCAATTTTTCCCTGAAATTTATCTCCTTGCCTAATTGTATCTATCGTGATTGATTAACAGACATCATGCATCCATTCTCAGTTTTTTTTTTTGCATTTACAATATTAATGGTGTTATAGTTGGACGAGTGCAACGACTACGAGCAGCGTCGAAGGCTGCGCGCACGCATCCGCACACTAATGGCTGAACAAGAAGGTATGTTAAATAAAAAATGATCTACATACCATAAACTCCTAGAAAAATAATAATAAAGTCAGATAATATTTTTCATCAAGCTGTGAGACACTTGATTCCATCTCCTCTTACACATGGCAGCTCCCTATACTAACTTATTTAGAAAGTAATATAATACATGATTCACAATTTTGATGTAAAAACGAAGAGTTATTCCTTTTCCAGCATGCGCGAGCGCAGTGACAGAGGCGCTGGCGGCGGCTGGCGAAGCTCCAGAGGACAACAACGAGGCTCGCGGTGAGTCCCTACTGTTACCACTGCTGCAGGGTCTACTGGGAGGCGGTGGCGAGCGCCTGCTGGCCGGGCTCGGCGCCGCACCCGCTGATGTTGTCGCAGACGTGCGACGCTCCCTTGCCAGGCTTAGGGCTGCCTTAGCACCACCGGCAGCACATCCACAAGCGCGTGCATTACTTGCTTTAGCTGACAGACTAGAAGACGCCCTTGATGTTGCTGACAGACTAGACGGGTGCAGGCAACGTCGGCCACGAAGGCGCTCCCGTACTGCCAGACACACTGTTGGTGTTACTAGAGGGGAACTGGATGAAGCACGGAGACTGGTCGACCATGACGAACTTGCGCTTCCTGGAGACCGGCATGGCTCTAGCGCCACTTCCACTGGCTCCGTAAATACCACCAGTGCCGACGAAGCCGTAACCCCTGAACGTAAACAAAGTGTTGATGAGGAGGTCAGTTACCATGACGCTATCGCCTCGCAGCAGAAATCAAACCCTATAGCTCATTCTGTCAGCTACGAGGCTACTCCTGCAGTCGAAAGGGACGCTCGTGTCGTTGTTCAGAAACGCAACCCTGCACAGCGTAAACCAGACTTTTATAGGCATTCGGTGGCCGATGTCGAAACACAACGACCCAGACCCCATCAGTTACAACAAACATGTCCACCACAGCAACCAGTGCAACAACCGCACCCCGAGCCACAACCAAGGCAGGTTCAACTGCCGCAGCCCCAACCACTCCATCAACCACAGGCATTCCCCGCGGCTACAAATTATGCCTCACACGTGGTGCATCAATCAAATCCGCGTATAGACCGCCGCCCCTCTGACTCTAAGAGCAGTATAGCTGCAATTGCCAATAAGTTTGACGCTCATGCTAGGGATACTTCTAACGATAGAAAGGAATACATCTCACGTCGCGCACCTATTGAACCTCCAGTTCAGCAGAAAGATATCAAACGCGAAGATAAACATACATTTATGCCGCTCCCACCAACATATAACTTTGCAGCACCACCTACTACTCAGGACGACTCTAAACCACTTAACCGATTCTCGAGTAATAAACGGTTGCGTATGAAGCGCGCTAATACAATAGACATAGGACGGCCCCTTGCGGGATATCGCATTGACAATGAAGAGGATGATAGCCCGACACAGCCGAAGGTGCCGGAGTTTCGACCACAGACCGAGAACGACAAGAAGTTTGTCGCTTTTATGAAAAAAAATGAAGCCACAGAAAGGGAAACTGCGGGCACGGTCCAAGCGAACTGGAGTAATCGTTTCGGTAACATAAAACACGCGTTTGAGAGCCGTGAACGCGAGGACAGCAGTCGCTCGTCTAGTGCATCGTCTGCACGTCGCTTCTGGCGTGGAACAGATGAAGCTACAATAAATCCGGCTACCACACGACCGAGGAAATTCTTGTCTGAAAATGCCGTGAATGTGATTAAGCCACCGTGGGTGACAGAGCGAAGGGAGCCATCGCGCGTAAATATCCCGCGACACGTGCAACAACCACCCGCGCCGGTACCCTTGCCTTCTCGCGCGCCTGTGCCGCTACCCACTCGGAAGCCTACGTCTGTACATGCGCCAGTGATAGCGGCACCCGTACTTTCAACCGCACCTTCTACGGCACCATCGCACCCGCCGATCCCGCAGTCTCCAACTAAACCGCTTGTTGTCAAACCATTCGCGACGCGCCCTATTCCCGTAAATCAATTTTCACATGCGCCGATGTCCGCGTTTAAACCGTTAACTAAAGTTGCTTCACCTACAACTGCGCCTGCGAATGTTTGGAGTCCTCCATCTGTTCTTAATAATATTACATCGCCAACGGCGGATATCCCTTACGCGGCACCGTTCAATTCCTCGCCTACGACAGCACTCAGCCCTACCGCTTCTGTAGCACCATGGACTACAGTTACTGAGACTGATAAGCCACGAGGGGTGGCTGGCATCGCCGCGGCCAAATTCAGTCAGGACAAGCAGGAGATGGCCCCGTATAGACCACCCGCGTTCCAACCGCCACTAATGACTCACGCGCTCCCGCAATTACAAAACTATGCAGTCAAGCCTATACCTAGCCAAAAAGACCTTGCCGCTCCGGAGCTAGTGCGTAAAATAGATGATGCCAAGTATCCGATGCAAGATACGTACGTGCCGAAGGTCGATGCACAGCGTCTACAAATTGAGTTTTACGAAAAGCAAATTCGCGAGAAAAACCGTCGCGAGACATTAATGAACGGTCACCGCGAACCCACGGAACGTAAGGTCCCAGCACCCGCTTATACCGTCACGAATTATACATCACCCAGTAACGTATCCACGTTCGTTCCGCTGCAGCGAACACCTGACATAGAGAAAGCACGAGCGCACAAAGTAGACTATCTGCCGGATGTTGTTACCAATGATACCGACCGACAACTGAGCGGTTCCTCACCCCTCGCGCCTCGTGCACCCATTAGCCCCCTCTCACCGAGATCTACCCATCCGATGGAGACACCACATGCGTACCAGAACGGGGACGCACCTTACACAAACGGAGTAGTAAACGATGTTACTACGGAGCACAACAGGGTAGTAACACGTGTAATGCGCGGCCCCGTACGTGGCTCTGCAACTATAACAACAGGTGTTAGAACCCGCAACGACGAGGGCCGCAAAGGCTCCGCAGCTGATAATCTACGTGGTGCACTCGACAAGCTTTCATCTCCAAGGCACGAGGTCATCGCGCAAATTGAAAGGAAAAAGCGAGAGGCGGCGAGGTCCCAGGTACGGGCCCCTGTACATAATGGCCGTTCCCCCTTACCCGCACCTGCCCCCCCGCACGCCCGGCCCCCTACCATAGACCTAGGCGGCGCGTCACCTTCCCCCGGTACTCTTGTTACATCCCGTGAGTCCGTGTCTAGCGAGTCCGTCGCTAGCATCGGCTCCAGCCCACTCAGTCGGTCTGGGTCCTGGCATCAGATAGCAACTAGCCCCAAAGCAGCGTCACCGCGACGAGTAGTCGCGCGGGCCAAGTCAATGCATCTTCTTGCTGTGCCTAAAATGTTTGAAGGTGGTATTGCACGTGAAGAGGTGAGAGAAAAGAAACGAACAGTGGAGGCATATTTCTCTCGGGAACAACAACAACAGCCGCGACCAGTGGCTACCAACAACCGTCCACGCTCACTGCGCCAGTCACACAACTCGTCGCAGTCATATTCGCTGGGGCGCAGCCGCACCATGCCCACGGTGTCAGAGCTGCAGTTCCTGGACGAGAGCAACATAGACGACGCATTCGAGGACCTGGTGTCGGCGCTCGGTTAGCGCCGTGACACATTCCACTAGTTAGGAGCGGGAGGCGAGCGAGACGCGCGTGAGTCGAGTGTGTGTGACGTCATGTCGCTTATGCCGCGCCCCCCGACCCTCCGCCGCATGCACCCTCCCCCGCGTGCCCGTCTCTGTACATATGTGCTCGTAACACCCGATCATCATCACTCCGCGCTCAGTAACCGTGTTATTTGACTAATAGCTTATAGGTATCGTTGTACTGTCTTGCTGGTTGTTTTCCAAGTGTTTCGAGTTAGTGTTTAATGCTGAATAGTTGCAGACAATATAACTTACAGGGCTATGTTTTATTCGCAGAGGAAGAGGAAGTAACTGTGACATCGAGCGTGAGGAGGAACTCGTCGGAGAAAACCGTTAGCAGTAGCACAACAACCACTAAAACTTCTAAAGGTTAGAAATCTACACAATATTTAAAAAAAAAAATCTAATAAAAAAAGATTTTCTTTATTAATCTGTGACATCCCACAGTGATAGAGAGCATGACCAGGCCAGCACCTAAGCCCGTGTCGCCGTTCGCCAAATTCCGGCAACTCGAGAAGCAAAACTCTACCAATAGTCCCAAGTAAGTTTCGACCGTAAGCATTGTCTAGCCACTTCTAATTTCAAACCAATACAAAACAAACCATAAAGACTTCATATCAGACATAAAAATACTATATTCTATGTATAAGATCCTGTCGCTTGATAAGTAATTTAATGCAGTATATTTTATTTATTTGGCAGCCATATCTGTGGATACGAATAAGGATAGATTCAAGTAAATATTCAAGTTCAATTTTGCATACCAATAACATGTATTGTATATTAGACGCTTATACGAATCATTTTCTTCGAGGCTAAGTACATACGCGGGCAGATATCAACAACGCATATGTGCTTGACCTGTCATGAGAACATTAAATCACAAATATGAATGATTTGACCCTAGTTGACTTAGCACGCGTTAATAATAATAATTTCTTGTAAATAACTGCGTCCCCGATTAATATACTTATTACATTTATTTGCACTCGCGTTTCGTAGCACACGATGTGTCGAACTAATATCTAGTATAAACAGCTACCGCGTTTGCGTCTGTACATCTACCATGACTTGCCTTAGTTTACTAGCGGTCATGGTACGCGTTTGTCGGTGACTAACCTTGCCCCACCCCCGTTGTAGCTCGGCCAGTCCGAAGAGCCCGGGCTCTCCGGCGCCATACTTCAAGTTCACGGAGCCCGCGCTGCAAGCGAGCGCCGTCACTATAAAAGAACGATTGCTGCAGTGGTGTCGCGACAAGACCCGGGACTACGAGGTACAGACCACACCTCCGCTCCCCCCTCAGCCCCCTTGTGCACCGCACTCCCCACTATGTAGTAGAAAGTTATATCGTCTAGTTACCTACACTAGACTTCAGTAGCTGTTGTAAGCACAAATTATTATTTTTTGTTGACACAATACACAAATTCGTTGTCTAAATATAGATACTTTTAAACGTAAAAAGACCACGTATTGGGGAGGTTAAGGTTGCAGTAGCTACATAGGCAGGTGCATATTTTTTTAAAGTTTCAAAAAGCAGCTAAGTGCAGCCATCTTAGTCTTAAGTTGTGACGTTTTAAAAGTTTACACTTAATATTGAAAACAGCTATAAATTAGTCAGTAGGCCTTAAATTGATTAGGTACTAGTATTTAATAAACTTTTGGGTAGTCACAAAAAAATAAATAAAAAGAACTTAGCTATAAACTTATAAACCGCCATAACCCAAAACTGAGTTGCACTTAGTTGGTTTTAGCAATAAACTTTCGGAATCACATATAAAAATGTGCAACTGTACCTTCAGGGCGTTCGGATGTAACGGACTTAACGCGTTGTCGAGAGGCATGTTGTTACCGTTTGTTGCGCACACGCATTTAGTTTTAACACACACGTCACTGTCACTACCGCTCATTGTACACGCTTCTCTTATCGCTTCACTTCGGCTGCTACTCTTTTATATATGTATAACTTGTCTACGTTTTGTGTATTATTATAATCCATTTATAGAAAACCAAATTTTATAACTTTGGTTTTGATTCTTATAAGATACTCTTTCATAATATTTTGTAATATATATTTAATAAATTACTTCCTATATAAATATGACATAAATAGTTGTATAAGTAACAAAAGGAGTGACCTTAAAATTAACTTATTTTTATCTTAAATTTTGTCAAAATGTGAAAAGCATGGATTTTGATTACATAGTGTCAAGAGAAAACAAGTGACAACAAAATTAATAGGAATCTGAAGTAAATTGCATGATTTTTGTGTGTCGATAACATGTGAAAAATATTATTTAACTGGGTACTTTCTAGTTGAGTAAGTGTTTTTTTTTTTTATTTCTAATCAACTGGGAACCACTTTATGTAGTTCAGTGGAAATTTTAAACAGGTCTGTTGTACTTAATGCGTACCCATACCATCAATGTTATGTCATTTTATTTTGCTCGTAGCCCAACAGACAAAACTATAGATTAAAAACTAGAAACCTCACAAATTAGCAGGTTGCAAGGTTTTAATACACCTTAGTGTTGATCGTTTGAAGGCACATTCTATGTTTTCCTTGTATTTGTCCAAAAGCACAAATAGATTAATTTATCTTCACTTAAAAGATGTCAAACTTACTGCGCACTGTAGAATTAAAAACCAACTTGAGCTAAGAGGGAGCTAAGCTAATAATCTGATGACTTAGTAAGAAGAGTCGTTTTGAACGTATACGGTGGGGTATTGTCCAGAATGTGAAGCTGGAGAACTTCTCCACGAGCTGGGCGGACGGGCTGGCGTTCTGCGCGCTGCTGCACCACTTCCTGCCCGACGCGTTCGACTACTCCAAGCTGAGCCCCGAGACGCGCCGACACAACTTCACGCTCGCCTTCAAACTTGCCGAGTAAGTATTTCTCCTATTTTACAAGATAAATAACCACACCCCACAACTTACCGTAAGCATAATATCGTCAAGCATCCATAATCCTGATCTGATTGACATTATATATTTATTTGCACTCGGTCTACCATAATGATACGACTGAAAAGTGGCTGGCCTCCTGTTTTTTTTTCTGTGCTGAAATCCCCTCGGATGCCACCCACCGGTGGTTTATGTCGGACTCGAACCGACCAAAAACCGCACGCCGTCTCGGGTACTAGTTGCTGGGGAACCAGGTATACCCTAGGAAGGAAATCCCTGATACCCCGACGTTCCTCGTGCCATCTACGGCGTGTAGATGACCCCCTCTTCCTATGTCCCCTTTCTGCCCCCGAAGGGGCGCGCGCGCTAGGCAGCACGTCTCGCCACCACCCCGGCATGCTTCTGGTAGGGTGACAGATGTCCTCACCTACCACCCCTAGGCCTGCGCTTATGGAGGACGGAGTTCATTCTGAGACCTGGCTGGCCTCCTGCCTAACAACAACCAAATCAACCAAAACCCTAGGTCTCAAAAGACATCTAAAATAATTTCCAATAAGTTCAATCGGTTACTGTTGCAACTATGAATAATTTGATGTTTACTTAATTCCAGTGAGAAGGCGGGCATCTACCCCCTGCTGGACGTGGACGATATGGTGGCGATGCGTAAGCCGGACTGGAAGTGCGTGTTCACGTACGTGCAGTCCATCTACCGCCGGTTCAAGGATGAATGACCGCCACCACACCGACCACCCAACACCAACACCTACACCTACCGTCCCACCCACCGTCCGAGCGAGCCTCGACAAGTAATTCATTAGCCGAGTCTAAGATCGCGATTGCTTTTAGAGAGCTGCTGTTATTGTTGTAAACGATTAGATTTTAACTTGAGATTATATTCATGGTATTCATACTTAGGCGCTTATTTAATATATCCAAGTCTAAGACGTGAAATAATCTGAAGTTAAAATAAAGTGTTAGAGGGTAGGAGGGGCGGAAGGAGCGTGTAGTGCGGGGCCCAGCGCCGAGCTGTAGAACGTTGTAGTCACAAATATATGTTTCGTACGAAGTGCGTAAGTCCAAAGAGCGTATGTTGTTGTTTGTTTTGTTGTAAATGTTTACGTCAGTGTCCGCCCAGCGCTGTCTCGACAGTCCTCCTATGTATTGTAATCTCAACATGTGATTTTTTTTCTACTTTAGTTTGTAAGCACTAACATTGATGTACCGACGCGAGGTCGTGGCAGAGGATCGCTTGCTCTTATAAACACAACATAAGGGGGTCGTATCCTCTCCGTTCAGTGCACAGACCTATTCACGAACAATATTAACACTTTACAATTTGACATTATTATTAATAAAAAGCGGCTTGATGTATTCGCCTACTGATTTTATAAAATTTGATATTATTGATTATATTATGTTAATTTATATTGATAATTAAATAAATATTGATTAACAAAACATTGGTGTATTATTTATACTTTATTTTTTAGTTCGATTACAAAAATCATTATATTTAAGTATACTAGTTTTATTAACATTTAATCAATTTACAATTCTAATACATTTGTGAATAAATATTTGTAGATCTACTAACTATAATCATCGATTTTATATTTAATTAAAACATTAATGCCTAAAAAATATTGTTACAATGTCTTAAAACATCGTTGCGATGTGTGTGATTATTATAGCATTCGCAACACTTGTGATTCCATATAATCAAATTTATTAGGTACTCGAATAAGACCATTTTTTTTACGATTCGACTAAATTGCACCGATCGTGGTCACAGGCCGAATGCACAGAGTAACAGCCCTACAATTTCGAAGTGTCAATATAATTTTCCAGGTACGTAAATATAATTTTTTACCTTCAATAAAATAGCATAGTTTTATCATATTTTTAAAAGGTTCAAAAAGGTGTTTTGTTTAGATTGTTACCTAAGAAACTGGACGGCAATTCAATTCTCTAAAGGACAGTTGTCTGTGCTCGATTGCGATGATTGTATAAAAACGTATGCAAACAGAATTATAAAAGTGATAACAGTGGATGCCATGAATACTACGAAAGAAATCGCCATTACTAACGCTTAATTAAAATATTACCAGTTAAAAAATATACTCGTAGTTGTGCGGTTGGCAATCAGTCTAGAATATTCTCCAGTATCTGAAAAGAAAATTGTTCAAAACATAATTATATACCACATGAATATATAAAGCAACATTATATAAAATTGGGAAATTGAAGGACTTAAAAGTTTTTTATTGGTAATCTAACTGGGGACTAGCAACGATGTTTTTTCTTCTACGACGATCAATGCAATTCAGTCGAAAATTCGCGCAAAAAAACACGTACTGATAAAATAAAAATTATAGAATCTGATAAGTAATTGTGTATAAAGTAAAAAATAACAAATTAAAGAGTGAAAAAGAGCATGACCTCATACCAGGGATCTGGTAGCGTGTATGGGAGGGCCACCATAAACGGGTCAGCTACGTTGGTGCTTCTATCAGCCGTCGCAGTTCCTGAATCTCCTCCGACCACCGTGGTGTCCGAAGGGTGAGGAGTCAGAGTATTCTCTTCGTCAGCAAGAGTCACGTGAACGTGCAGCGTGCTGTCACGCCACGCCTGCCAGGATAGCTGGTGTTCTTGGATTTTCAGCAACATCCAGGTAGTCAGCAGACCGTTCAGAGCACCTGATGTGTTGGTAAGAATAGGTGAGGCAATAGACCTAATATAAACATACAGCTATTTTTCAGTCCGCCTGAATATAAACGATACCAAGTACCTGCACACTCGTTACACACAGAGTCGGTAACAGCGCTGGTTGTCGACCATAGCCGTTACTCTGTTGGTTGGTTTCTAAGAGGTTTCAGTTTGAAGTATAATGTATGTAGTCTACTCGAAGTTGTGTTAGCTTTAGCGGTCTAGACGGGAAAAGGGGGGAGATTCTGGAGACCAAGCTGCTGGGGGATTAAGTTCTGCATTGTCAAAGGAGAGTGGCTATGCTTGTACTTCTACAATTCTTGTAAGGGAATTTATATGACTAAAATATTAGAAAGAATCAGTTCGAGGTTAGAAACAGAAGCTAAAACGCACTATCGTGTTGCTTCCGTACCTATGACCCCAATGAGGAGAGAGGAGAAGAGGTTGGCGGCGAGGGCTGCGCCGCCGCCCCTGCGCGCGCCGGCCTGCAGCACGGCGTCGCAGGCGTGCAGCGCGCGCGCCGTGCCGAGCACGCTGGCCGTGCCCAGCGCCAGCGCGCGCCACACGTCCGCCGCCAGCGCGCGTCCGCGCCCCGACATCGCCCACTCACACATCGACCGCATCCACGACCATCTGGGGGCAGGCCTAGTAATAGACATACGCCACGTGTGGCACTGCACATCACGCACTACACGCCACACGCTTTACTTCGCGAGTCCGAGATCTTATTATTATTATAACTTGACATTCCTTACACTAAACTAGGCAAAGCCAGTTGTAACCAGACTGCTGATAAACATAAGTACTTACATATTACTGAATGCTTAAATACTACAAATAAATTACACCCAAACACAGAACAGAACAGAACCCCATTTAAAGCAAATAAATAATTTGAATTTTAATGATCTCAAATAATCACACGACCGTTTATCCTGAGTGGGAATCGCACCTAAGACCTTAGTAATTAGATCAATCATTAACCAACAACCCAATCTGACGTTATCTCTCATGTGCTGTCATCATCATCACCAGCCTTTAATAGTCAACTGCTGAACATAGCCTTCTCCTTAGGAGGTTTTGGTCTACTTTACCACGCTGGCAAGACGGGTGGGCATAGGTTTGTTTCAAGTTTTCCTTCTCTATGCAGTGCTGTTGTCCTGCGTATTTTGCTCCCTTAGTCGGCTCTTACGACACCCACGGGATGAACAGGGGTGATGACACTCCGTATTCTTAATCCGTCACCACATGGAGAATGTGCTACACCTGCTTCGTAATTAAACCTTACTGTACGAATTAGTTGTCAAACTCAGTACTCGTATAATTATGATTTATCATCCAGACCTGAATATGAACTTTGTGTAAAAATCTCTTTTTGGCATTAATAAAATGACTTACTTATGACTTCTGGTTACAATATAATGGTGCCGGCATAGTTCGCAGTACGACGTGGCAGCTTGTAGCAGCCAGCGTTCCAAGCAGGTGCGGTGGACTGCTGCTATAGTCCCGCGGCAGGAGCACGGCCGCACCAGGCGCTCGGCTGACTCCCCACCGAAGCAGATACGGCAGATATTGTCTGAACGACGGCTTCCCGTGAAGCTGGTGACTTCTTTTGCAACTTGCGGACCCTTCACACAATGTTTTATTCTACGCAATTTGTATTATACGTTTAGTGTGTGTTTTTGGTAGCTTTCCTATATAAGAAAGCTCCCAAAAACGGTACGGTATAATACTGTTCTTATAACATGATAGTTTTCTCCAAGGGCATTTTACTGCCTTTGATCCACTTTTTTTGGGTTCGGCGTAATGTGTACCGTTGTAAATGATGTTAGCTGGCTTCTTTTATGGCCAGCAGCTAGCCTGATGACAGGGCTCGTACAAAACAGGCTGCTGGCCTTGGGATTTGGGATTGTTATCGTTTTCGGAGAAGGCAAGGTAAATTGGAATGAGGAAAACATATAAGGCCAGGAAACTAAGGTAAAGACTCTCGGACAGAGAAATTTAAAATAGGACAGTTGTCTATGGATAGTTGTCTATGACTTTTAATTGTATAGTTATTGTTTTTTTAAATTGTTGTTGTTTTTTAAAAGAAAATGATTAAACGATATTAACGTATGAAGTCATATGCTGTTACTTCTAACCTATTTCTACAGAACGTACCGCTTTGACATTCTATAAAGAGACACTAACGTAATAGTGAACTACCATATTGTAACTTTTAATAATACAATATAAACAAAACCTACTCTTGTTGATACTAAGATTGGTTAATAATTATATTACATAGCAACATTACTCTGAAATGAAATAAATGAGTGAAATAAATAATATACCTAGTTATTTACTGCGCTTTAAAAAACACAGAGCTCTCGCTTTAATCGAGTCTTTTGTGTTCTTGTGCAGAGATGCTAAAAATCAGTATGCTTGCGGCTATGCTTTTAACGAGCACTAAACAAACTTTTTTTTAAATTAATGAGTTACGCGCTCTTATATATATAATATGACATTTTTTTCAACCTGGCAACATTACATCGTTGTACAAGGATACAATGGCTACCTGCTTGTGGAGTAACAGGGCACAAACCGAGCCCAGTATAGACATGGACCTCCCCCCACCGGACTGCAATAAAGAAGAAGCTGGCGATGAAAACGTCAGGGAGTCGGCGATACGGGCGCGCATTACGCGTTGCTCCTCTGAGTCGGTTACTGTTGCTGCGGAATATAATCCATGCTTAAATCACGATTATATAGCACCAATATTAGTGTAGTACATACCTATTCTTCTAAGAGTATAAAATGCAGGCAGTAGTTAAACATTTTTGTTTGTTTTTATCTGATGATAATATAAATAATAGTAAACCTCACACATCTCACACACGGCCGTCCAATCCCAAACCAGGCAAAGTCTGTGCCATAATAACCAGACTGCTGATAAATATCCCTGGGCGGAAATCGAACACATGACCTCTGGCTGAGCAGTCAGGATCATCAACCACTAGACCAACAATTAACTTAATGTAACACTTGTCCTTTTAAAAAAGTTCGACAACCGTAACAAACCACTGTAGGAATGTTACTATTTTCATCTAAGAATATAAGCGTTATAGTTAAAGGTGAACATATGATATACATACATGATGCGTGTGACATACCTGGCGAAGAAATGCCGGGCGTATATCGACAGCTGATATCTGTCTGTTGTGCCGTTGAACGTAATTCTTTTTCGCGCTGTTGGGCTGGTGGGGATGCCTAAATAAACAATTAATTATAAAAGTGTGTCATATTAAAAAGCCTCGTGATTATTCGTGCAGGTAACAAGTTTTTTTTTTATAAAGTGTTGAGAGAGAGATCACCCAGCACCTAAACAAGCAATATCTTCACGTCAGCTTATTTTAATCACCCATCACCTAGATACAGAATATGCGAAGTATATTCACCAATCAAATCAAATTTAGTTTAGGACGAAGCTTCCATTTGCCTGGAATTCCAGATTAATGTTGCTAGATACTTCCTGCTGTTCTTAGCGTTAACTTAGTAGGCCAAAACCTCCTTTCTAAGGAGAGGCTTATGTCCAGCAGTGGACTGTTAAAGGCTGTTGATGTTCTTAGCGTATATCATACTGTGATACTTACAATCATGTGCAAAGAAGAGCAGCTGGATGCAGACATGCTCATTGTGGCTTTACTGTCGGAGCGCTCAAGGCCCCAGTACATCAACAGAGTTTCTCCCTCGCCAACATCACACTCCTGGAAGTAAATGTTATTTAAAGGGTGTATATAGGGTATAAGGGTGACAATACAGCTATGATGAAATCGACAAGATGGTTTTCAACAGACGTATATACCAAAAATACTCTCTCATAATTACTGCACACACACACACACACACGCACACATTCACACTAGTGCAAGTCACACTGGTAGTTACACTATACTTTACACACGACACAAATATACACCCCATACTGTCTGTTTGATAATAAATAAATAAACCAGTTTCTTGTCTATTTTTTTTATTTTTCTGTTTGATTGTAAGTAATAATATAGGTAGTTAGCTTGCTCTGTTTTGTAAGTAAACCACTTTCTTTTGTATTGATTGATTTTGTTGACATAACTATATATAACATGTAACAAGGTGAAGTCACTGGGTCCTATAATACAGTTCTTACTAGTTTAGGAGCCAGCGTATTTATACTATTTGTAACACTTTTATGTCAATAAATATTTCATTTCAAAGAAACTTGGTAAAACTACATAGACAGCAACATTCTAGGCACCATTAAACCTTGGAATGTGTGTTAAAATAAATCTATTTATCTGTCGATAACGCTATTGGTTTACTCTTCCTGACATCTTACAACACCCGAAGAGCCTCGCATTCTGTAAATGAGCGAGGTGACACCATAGGTACGATCGAAGAGGGAGTCTCATCGGAGCTAATCTAGCATCAATATTGCCAGGATATCTCTTGTTTGGGAAAAAAACAATATGTTCATTCATAAATATGATTCATCCAAACCATACCCTTCATAATCTTTGACTGCGACGGCTTTTGGGCGAAAAAAAAACTTATTTATGTGTATTAATACTGTATACCTTAAAAGAAATGTATATTTCTAAGGTTAAAAGTATGAGTTTATTGAGATAACTATTCTGGAATACGCCAGTACTATCTACAGCCAGTTTTAAATTTAGTATTCAAGTTATTACGATAATTGCGGCATTAAATATGAACAGTAAATAACTTGTAATGTACCTTATCTAAAACATGCATTGGGATATTCCTAAAAGTTGCCATGGAGTAGGTAAACATAAATGTGAAAAAAAAGTACCCGTATGATGTTGGAGTAACTGCAAGTCCGGTGAAATTTGAAGTTAAATCTTTGCAAGGCTTGCTGGATCTTCGGTGAAAATCCAATTGGAGCAAGCACAGCCTGCCTAAGTTTCTGGATTACATCGCTCGGAAAAGGTTCTATATCATTAGTATCCACTAGACAATTTATTGTTACGTATTTACGCATCGTTTATCAACATCGCGAAAATATTTTTTTTATCATTTCTACAATTAATTTATAAAAAATATACACTCTAACAAATTATACAAAATGCCTAGTCCATCGTGAGATCTAGGTGATTTGTCATTTTCCAATTTGTCAAAGTGATTTAAATGTTTTTTCATGATTAATGAAATTATTTAAAAAAGTTTGGTTTTAGGATTTCAATGGTATTAGAAACTATAATTACTCGTACAAGTGAGAGGCGCGTTTAGATGAGGGTAGGACGTATGCCCCTACCACCCACCATGGCCACAACCACAACCGCCACTGCCACCACCACCACTAACCAAAGTGCCACCACCGCCATCACAAAAACGGAGGCGATATAGAGCCTGCCATAAGAACGAAGCCTAAAGGTGGCCATCAGAGGGCTGCCCAGCAACGCCACCCTACAAGAGGTGGATTAAGAACTCAGGGACCTGGGCTACGACCCGGAGTACATCCGAAACATCCGGGGCCGTTGCAACCGCCCGGGGTGCATCCACCTCGAAATTCTAAAGAGTGTCGTGGATATACGAAGTCGACAAGAATCTCGGTATCCCTAGCGTCAAGATAAAAGCCTGGCGCAGATAAAGGAAGCCCGCACTATTTCACCGCTGCCAACAGCACTGCGGCGGTGAACATCCAGCATCAAGCTGTCCGCACCCGCGGGGGGAGACCGGCACCTGCACAGAGGGAGCTGAGAAATAGGAAGGCGGGGCCAATAGAGCCAGCACCGGTACATCCGCCGGTAAATGTCAAATCTTAAAACTATGGCTTTTTTTTTTCAATAGAGCAAAAAATACTTAAAATTCACCCAATGGTACATATAACAAAAAGCATTTAAGCAACGAATTCCCTTGACCAAAAAAATTAAAGAGTAAAAATTAATCGTTACGAAATAAAAATCTTGCAAAAGATTAATTATCATTTTATTGCGATGTTGTCATATCAAGGAAAGACGTAGAAGCAAACATAACAATATTGCCATCTTTTAATTGCGCAATAATAAAATAGTTGTTTCGTTAATAGGGTAGTATGACCAGCTTAAAATAAATTTCACGCTGAAGGTTTGAATAAAAAATTATGAATCCAATTTTACTTACAACATTCCTATAAACAAATTCAAATATTTTATAAGTAACAATCTTTTATAAATTAACTCAACTTTTGTTCCTATTTCAGTTGCACGTTGTTATTACATTACAATTTGATTCCATAGATTGCAATTTATTGAATTGTAGACAGGGACAATATTTCTATCTCTTTCTGAATGAAGATGGAGGTCTAATGCTACATAAAAACCGCGTAAGGTTAAATGGAACTGTCAGATGAAATAAAACAGCTCATTTAATTGTCAAACTGACGTACACCGCACCTCTTAAAAGAACACCTCCGTGTTTTTTTCCCACGTGAAGCTTTGTCTTGTGAAATACTTGGTAATAATATAAAGTAAACGAAAAAATCATGGCAGTCCGCGTTCAATTCGAAAACAATAATGAAGTGGGAGTATTTAGCAAACTAACAAATTCTTATTGCCTTGTTGCAATTGGCGGATCGGAGAATTTCTACAGCGTGTTCGAGGCGGAGTTAGCGGACATCATTCCTGTAGTTCACGTTAGCATAGCTGGTTGCCGCATCATCGGTCGCATGACCGTCGGAAACAAAAATGGTCTTCTGGTGCCCTCGTCCACAACAGACACAGAATTGCAACATATTAGAAATAGTCTACCAGAAAAAGTCAAAGTGCAGCGAGTGGAAGAACGGCTCAGCGCTCTTGGAAACGTAATAGCGTGTAACGATTATGTAGCCCTTGTGCATCCCGACCTAGACCGCGCCACAGAAGAAATATTAGCAGACACATTAGACGTGGAGGTATTCAGACAAACCGTCGCTGGTAACGTTCTAGTTGGATCATACGCAGCACTAAATAACCGTGGTGGTCTCGTCCACCCCAAAACCGCTATCCAGGATCAGGATGAATTATCATCCCTTCTACAAGTGCCTTTAGTTGCAGGCACAGTAAACAGAGGCAGTGAGGTTATTGCCGCAGGAATGGTTGTAAATGATTGGTGTGCATTCTGTGGTCTAGATACAACATCGACAGAGATCTCACTGATTGAAAGTGTGTTCAAGCTAAATGATGCTAAGCCGACAGCAATCACATCCACAATGAGGGCATCGCTGATCGACAGTATGTCATAACATTGAGCACCGACTACTGTACTAGACTGTTTGTGATAAAATTTATTTTGTGACATGCACACTGCAAAAAAATATGTATCTGGTGATCAGATTCAAAACAAAGTCTTTTTGTTCTATTATAAAAAATAAATTGTGAACATAAATAAAACATCTTTTTTAATACTCATTTTAAACATTTAAACTATTCAGTTACATTTCTATTACATGTCATTGCTTAAATTGTGAAATATCAGTGCTCAACTGTTTGAACTATTGTAAATGTTGTGTGAATACACAATATTTTCATTTGTCAGTTTACCAATTTTATATAGTTTAATAAAACCATTAGATAATTGTTTAGAAATAGGTTTATAATAAAAACACAACATACTTAATACACTTTATTTATAAATAATTATTAAATACAATCCTTCTATCTACAGCTGTCACATTGTTTCTTTGGAAGTCCAAACATTGCCATTAGGAACCAAACAATAATATAAAAATAATAGCTTGTTATTTGTAAAGAAACAATTTATTGCAGTTTCCTGCCAAACAATACAATGTTATATACAATCCTTGAATGATAAAACCAGTTTTAGTATGTATACCCTAATGTGATGACTGATGATATAACAAATTAGGTAGCTAAACATTCAAATCAATTTCTATGTATTAAAAAACATAGCTGAGCAATAAATGCTGAAAGTTTATTATCCTTGTCTATGTGTAAACAACTTCGTTTCATTGTTGCACAATTTGGCGGGAAAATAAAGTTTACGTTTGCAATTATTAACGTACGCCAAGTAAACACATGTAACATAATCTTATTGTGCTACATTTCTGCAGATTAGCACATTAGGTAATTTAAACAAAAGCTTTACTTGCTATTATTAGAATAATTTTCTTTTTGAATAAGTAACAACGGAGATAAGTATAAAATTTATAATATTCAAATAATTTATTTTTTATACACAATTTCATTATAAAATACCTATCGATCTTTTATTTTGAAGTGTATTCATTAAGGGCTATCTATAAATTACGTCACAGTCATTTCATTGTTTTTTACCCACACTTTATCCACGTCAAAGTTGTCACGTTAGTTGTGTGCCCTCAGGTGTGATGTCATATGGTTTGCTGAGCTAGAAAAGTGTTTCAATGGCAACATTGACAACTTTTTTTGTATTATTAAAGATTTTAAAAAATTCACAAAATAAATTTTATTAATGAAAAATCTACTAATGGAAAGATTTTTTAGCATTTTTCTATGGACCTTCAACACCAAGCCTAAAGCTAGAAATAAAAAGATTCTGATATTATGACGTTACGAAGCTTAAACCACCACCCCTTGTCACACAATAACACTTCCTTGATTCTCTCTACCTGCGTGTATCGAATTCATGAATGGCTCCATATTGGCTAACTTGGAAACGAATTACAATTTAAAAAAATGTATATAATATGAAACATTGATGACTACAAGTGGAGACGATTCACAGGTATGAGGGGTACCTATTAATGTTCTACCAGGAACTGGCAATAAACAATCCCAAAATAAAATCTGTATATGACAGTCCCTTAGTAGTTAATAATTAGCCCGAGTACCAAACCCGTTACATATCAGATGTATTATTCAAGCTTTCTATACAATTACTTGATATTTCGATTAAATTGCACATTTTATGGTTATAAAACAAAAGATTATTGATACGAGGGCCTTACACGCCAAAAATTTAATAAATTCTAAACAATATTTCTATGTAAAGGCTGAGTCATAATAAACTGTTTTAATATACTGCATCATCTCTTTTACATTATGGTCCTAAACTATTCCACATATTTGTTGTTCTAAACTAAAACTAATATTTGAACACATCTATATAGCAATATAAAATCTAAACACTTAAATTATGCTCTTTATTATTTATTTCCAACAATTTCTAATTATGCTATTTTTATGTTCACGAATAATATCATAGATTGCTAAAATTAAAAAAAGTTATTCGATAACTAGACACAGTTGGCAGAAAAAGAGTTTAATTAATAATTTTAATTATCAAAAAGTCAATATTAGACAAAAATGCAAACAAAATTACCCAATTGGAATTTTCTTAGGTACTTTAAGCTTCAGGCCTGGGGGTGACAGGTAAGGCCATCTGTCACCCTAGCAGAAGAAGCCCAAGCGGCGACGAGGCGCGCGCGCCCTTCCGGGAGCACAGCGGGAACAGGGGGGTTCCCACAGGTGGTGGTCTACTACCCGCCGTAGATGGCCCGAGGTACGTCAGGGCACCAGGGATTTCTTTCTAGGGTACACCTGGTTCCCCGACTACTGGTACCTGAGACGGCGGGCGGTTTTAGTCGGTTCGAGTCCGACATTGCCACCGGTAAGGGGTATCCGAGGGGATTGCCGCACAGTTAAGCTTATTGGCTTATTTGATCCCAGAACAAGATCCGAGAGACCAGACACAATTCTGAAACTGAAGTTCGGCCTTTATAATAGTAAGCATTTTTTCAAATTCCAACGGTATTACCATAAATATTTGCACTGCCAACTGCACCTCAGAACCAATTCGAGCCTCAACCAATAACTATGAACAAAATAAATATATATCTAAAACTATATTTAAGCGACAATGTTCATATGGCAGCACTCATCTCAGTCACAGAACGCCTCTCAACAATATATATTTATGCACCATATAACAGATCTGTCCTGTCACGGAGTCGCACCACGCCAAAGATGTCATAACACGTCAATATGTCACAACACGTCAATATGTCACAGATTAAGAAAGAAGTTATAGGCTCGGAGTTTTCAACAGCCTATTCAACTTGCAGGTACGATACTGACCTGCATTCCCCAATCTATACAAATAAATAAAATTGAAGTGTCTGTTTGTAATGTCCAAATAACAGGTATTTTTAATGCTCACACGGTTATTTGCAGGAAACATTTGCCTAAAAACCAGTTTAATTTTTTTTGTGTCTGTCGGTTTATTCCGGGTAATCTTCAATTTTACTACCAGGTAGCTGTCTATATAAGGAGTGACTTAGGCTATTTTTCCAAAGCGCCAGGGTTAAGATTTACATTTAAAATTTACATACATTTCGTGTTACGGAATGAGGGGGTGCGACTTCGTGACGTTTTTCCTAACTTTTCAACCAGAGATTTATAACAAATAACCTCACAAAGTATATCCAAAAATCTAAAAAACAAGCATTAAATATAGAAAATTTGATTTTCAAATATTATTCCAAAGACAATTATGTTAATTATTATTTACAGGATGCAAACGAGTCAATAGACAAAATAAATGCAAGAATAAATACACACAAGGTTGTTCAGTCTGGCGCCATTTTGTCAACAACAAAATATAGGTATCTATTAAATTGTAATGGAGTTCAATCTTATCCTTTATTGTAGGCAGCCACCAGCATCAGTGACATCACTTTAGCAACACAACAGCTAAACCCCCTCTCCCCTCCACCCACTGAAGCTCTGACAACCCTACACATTGCATAAACACTTGCCGCTTTAGTTTGACGTTAACCGTAGCGTGTGTGGCCGGCTTAATACAGATGAGGCCCTAATTAAAATCTAGCTTTAGGGATGCCCAAAAAAAACGTTCTAACATATCGATATATCGCATCGTAAACTTATCGAATGTATTTGTACCTTTTTATCGATTTACCGTATTATATTAACGGTTAACTTGGCTTAGCTCGGTCGAAATATCATATTAATTATCGATATATCGTAATGTGAGGTATCGATCTTCAGTTTTTCCGAATCGTATTTGGCATCCCTATCGTGTTTGAAGCCGAGACCCTAAAGGTATATTATGACAACACTCTCCCAGAACGAACAACCGTATTAAGAGGCTTATTGCAGAAGAAAGGCCTTCGTCTGAAGGCTATTCTGAATTGTGGACAAAAATGTGTTATATTATTATAAGTATATTATATTCGTGAAATAGTCGATTATAATCAATAAACCTTACAACGTATTGCAATTAACTTCTTAAAACAATGCAATTAGTATAACATGCAATACATTATAAAAAGAATCTGAGTTACAGAAGAAACCCGTAAGCGTGTTTATAAGAACGGAAGGTGGAGATAACCTCTATTTACAATGAACACATCTACAGGTACGTACCTCTACGGTACTGAAAATTCTTCAAAGAAATGGACGAAGTTTATTTTAATACTAGCTTTTGCCTGTGGCTTCGCCTAAAATTATTTTTACCTCTCGGGAATAGTATTGTTTATGTATTAAAAAGGTATATCACTATGCCCTTTTATTTACCTTCCTATCGCTGACAAAAAAAATGTGTGAAATTTCATAATTACAGATTTAGTGAAGCAACAAACACATATTATTTACGAAAATACATATTCAAGTTCTTTTGAGAACATCTAAAAATCTCCAAATGTTTTCTTTTTGAATTTAATTCTCGCACATTGGAAGTGACCATTCAGGCCAATACGTCATCAGGGAAGCCTAACCCATGGTTAGGTAAAAACAAATACTTTAAGCTCACTAATTATCATGGCACACGATTATAAAGAATACAAATTTGTGTACAATTCATAGATATTACTAACACATATATAATCTGTGGATACAATATTGATTTATGTTCAATCTTTCAATCACTCATTCATTCATAAAACTTACATCCGTAAATATATAATGTTATATTTTATAATAAATCTTGAAGCACACCAGTTACGTTTTGATTTAAAATATCAAAAAAAAAAACTAGTTACTATGTAAACATGAGCTGTTCGCGTTGCAATATTGGATATCCAACTTAAATATTGTTTTATGAACAAATATAGGCCCATTTCATAGGATTCATATTATGTTTACAGTGCTTACCAAACCAGCTTTAGACAATGTAATGTAAAGATCTGTGATGGCTGTTAGAAAGGTTATGAAATTTTAAGCAGCACTTAGGTTTAGGTTGCTAATTAAAAAGGAACATTATCATAGGGACCGCATAACATTATAAATACCTAATTTTAATGCGTATTTGTTGTAATATAAAAAAATTAATTAATACTAACATTTAATTAATTTTACTAAAATACTATATTATATAAATCAAGTAAATGTTTATATTTTAAATGATTGCTGAAGATTTTTTAATACAAAAAAGTTTTTTAAATTCATAGAATGCCTGCCAGGAAAAAATAAATAGATTTGCAGCATAGCAATGTAATAATTACAAACTGGTGAATAGGAATAATGGGCCTTTAACACGCCACTGTCTAGCCCTTTAGGGGTAAAGTCGTGAGTGTATGTTAATTAATTTTAGAATATAAAATTCATACATCCTCTTCCATTAAAAAATGTCTATGGTTTTTTTTTTGTTTTCATTAGTAACATTCAGAAGTGGTGCAAATTAGGTATGTACTATGTTCATTGGGACAAAGATAAGTGATTCAAACAAACACTAAAGGATTCGCAATTGTGTCTCTCATCAACATGTGCTAAAATGTTGAGAATGGAAGAAGTTGGAAGACTATCGAGCAATAGGACGAATGAGAACCATTACGTTCTATGTTTAAAAGTGAAATATGGCTCCCAGCATTAGAATTGGCGGGAAAGTTAAAGGTAGTTCCGAAACTACCATAGGCATTACCTGCCTTTTTTACTTCTATATCTTATGTTAATCTATTGTTTATAATTAAATGGCAAAAATTCTATATACATAAGGTATATATTAAAATTTTATAATCTACTGCCCAGAATTATTAACTTTTAAGTGTATTATCCACAAAGATATGTAGGTAAGAAGTGCACACAGGGAACAGTAGACTATACATTAGGGAAATCTAATATATTATACAAAATCTATGTAGGTATGTATGATCATATGATCTCCAAAATGGCTTCACTGATTTGGATGATATTTTATATGCTTCAGATTAACCTAAAAGGGTAGTCTTGTAAATCTTATGATGTTTGTAGCGATAAGTCCGACCAATTCTCTTTTCTGTTTGTGCAGATGTGGGTCGCTTCTTTGGAATATACAAATATATTAGATTTACAGATCTAATATATATGGTCGTAATATTCGAAAAGTTCTTGTGGATTAGTACAACTTGTTTTTAAACGAAACTTTTAGCCATTTTCGTACAACACTATGCAATTTTGACGTGATAACGTCTTATAAATTGGTTTGCCGGGTGACACTTCAAGAAACTGCGTTACGCTCCGCTCACGTTATGCGCTCACAATGAGAGCGAGTGAGAGGCACGCGTCCCTTCCAATCGGGCATGGTTAGCCCGCCTAAGAGCGAGAGAGACAGACATAGTCGTTGTCACGTAAAACTTTCGCCCGTATACCGACTTTACAGGCAACCAATTTTTAGTACAAAATAATTAAATATTTTTGAACATCTATAGTGAGTGAGAGACTCCGAAATCTCACCTGCAATCATGTTAGATTAAAATTACAGTCGAACTAGTTTTCACAAATGGTGAATGCACATTTGGTTCCTAATACTGATCAAAATGAGCGTCACGTGATCGTGCGTAAAAGTTAAGAATTTTAGTTAAATTTTACACAGCCAAATATTAATATTATATTTATTATTATGAAAGTTATAAATTTTTGGAGTCAATATTGTTCTGAGTAATGTTTTGATTCTCGTTATTAAATAATGACGTATCTAGAATAATTAATTGTTTATTATTTTTGTGTTGTCTTTTTTATGTTCTTTCTTTACAGTATTAAATGATTATCTACTGAGATTAGATTTTCGAGAAATTTCGAGAATATTTTTTTTACTCTAAGCACTTTCTTTTTCGCATTTTCTTCTGCATTACTAACTAATTCACTTTGGTGAAGATTACTTTAAGCTCTGTTTATACTGTATTAAGATGCAAAATCCAAAAATTAAATATATTTATTATTATATTAAACCTCATTTAATATCCTAATACAGTTAACTAACGAAATCAGTACTGCCATCATACAGAAAATAACACAACTAATATATATTTTTTACAGTATTTTTTTTACCATTTTTGTTTTTAATTTCCGACTATACCAACGCTAGTCGTTACTCGTAAGCTATCCTGACTGCTAGATCGAAGTCGTAGGTTCGATTTCCACCCAGAACAAATATCGTGTGATGAACATGGTCATAAATAGTATTCTATCAGTCAATCTAGTTTTTATAGTACAAGCTAGTGCTTAGTTTGAAACTAGATGGCGTTGTGTTAGATGTCCGAAATATTATTATTATTTGTTGTGTCTGGGTGTAGTCTCTCTATAAAATGGATGTATTTATGTTTATCAAGAGTCTGATTACCATAGCACAGGTTCAGCTTAGCTAGGGATCAGAGGGCCATGTTTGAGATGTTTCAAATTATTATTTAATTAATCTTATTTTTCAATTTTTTATTGTAATATATTTTAGTTATTGATAATAACTAGATTGTCTGAAATATAAATTATTAATTTTGTGATAAATTAACATTCAAACTTGTCACTTGACATAGCTAACCAGTCTGACTCTTGATAATTCGGAACAGAGTCCTGTTTACTTTATATCTGTAAATGTTCATCACGTGTGAACCTGTCGTAGTTAGGTGATATGATGGAGGAACAGAAGGACCAGTCCTCAGTGACGTGGGCAGCACTTAGAAGTGTTGAGTGGCAGTGGTGGAGAGGACGGTGTCGGGCCTCACTCGCTCGTAGAACAGCATGTACGCGGAGCAGCGCAGCACTTCCTGCAGCGACACCTCGTGGACCAGCGTGTCTGACGTGTACCACCACCTGTAGTGGAGAACATTCAAAGTTAAAATATTTCTACTTGATATCGTCTCTTGCGTAATGACTCCAGGGTCATAGATCCCACACAATAGCAATGATCTGTTTTGTCAAAAATTTAACGACATTGTTTTAGTTGTGGATGTAATATTTTCAGAATTAACTTTTAAAAATGGTATCCCTGGTTTTAATGTAGGTGGTATTTAATTTAAGATTATTAGTTTATAAAGTTTTCTTTTAAAAAATGTGAAAGTATAAAAAGTGTGGTAGTCGGTTTGTTTTGCTAGATTTTTTAAGACGGAGGCGGTTTACCTACCACCGTCGATGTGAACGTGGTTCCACAGGTTTGTTGATTAGATAGATCATGTTATTACGAGGACAGGCCTATATGACAACAGTTTTCTAAATAAATCTTTCATCTTCTGGAGTTTTAGGGGTAGGTTTTTAGTGGCAACATCAAACTCCTGGCTCCCTAAAAAAAGGTATTTAAACAAGTGACATCAAGTGGGGTCCATGTTTAAATAAGATTTGCGTGTATTTCTCTTAATAGTTTATGGCGGGTTGTCAAGGAATAAGGAGCGAAGAGTTACCTTTTGGATTCGAAGCCGTTCCCGCGGCGGTAGGTGGCGAAGTGTCCGGAGCGCGGGCCGCCCACGTGCACGACGACGGCGCTGAGGCGGTAGGGCGCCGCGCCCCCCGCCCCGCCCCCCGCGTTGAGCGCGGCCAGCCCCCCGCGCAGCCGCCCCCCGCTCACCAGCGACGACAGCTCCGTCTGCGCACAGCACACAGGTCATGACATCGCTCCACGGGCCACAGTGGCGCTGGGCTAGAGGGGTACCTTGGGCTGCTGCACGGCCGCGTAGGGCGCCATGGAGAGTGTCTCGGGGAAGGCCACGAACTCGCTGCGCTTGTTGAGCGCGCCGCTCAGCCACTCCACGCGCCCCACGTGCAGGCACAGGCAGTACGGGAGCTGAGGGAACCATGGGCCTTGGTTATTTTATTTATTTATTTACTTATAACTAAATGCAATTCATATATCAAATTTATAAACATGTGACCCACAAAAATCATGCAGCGTCATGCCATCAAGTAATAAAGGTCTGGATTCTAAAGTTATAATCTTAAATTTACTTAGGAGTTCTGAATAATGGGCCCCAGAAAGACTGCATCAGTAAGTAACGTTCGTAAAAAACTTTTTTTGGACTATTTCTAGACTATGTGTGTATTAAACATATTGTGGGCTCCAGACCGATACAGCGTATTCCAATTGTGATCTTATTAAGAGAGAGAGAAAGAGAGAGAGAGAGTTTAGACAGAGCCTAACATCTTATAAGCTTTGTTAATTATACCGTCAATACGTTTGTCGAAATGCAAGCAAGAATCCAACAGTACACCTAGATCACGGACTAAATTTACCTTAATTAGTATAACATTATTTATTGAATAATTAAGTTATTTTATTTTTAGTGAATAAAATTGTGTGACATTGCGGGCGACTTAGGAATAAACCATACTGTTGGATAGAATGTACATCAAGTGTGTTTATAAACATTATTTTTTGGCATTACTAGTGGTATCTGCATAATTTACTTTATTGTGTAAAGTAGATTCATTCGATTTTAAAAGCGTTATATAACATTTGTTACGATTCCGAGACCAGTTGATATCTGTTCTCTCCAATCTCAGGACTGGTATAAGACCCCTGTCCCGCCCAATTCATCCTTTGGGCTTATTTGCAAACGACTCTACTCCCAAGGAGTTGGCGTCAGGCAGGCAACCAGTTATAAAAGAAACAAGCCAGAAACTTTTGCATAAGAGTTGAGGAACGGGCAGGCTGATGATGATGAGGTGATTTACCTTCCCGAAGCTAACAGTACGTATGTGCTTGGTGTAGGCGGTGGGGGGCGCGGGGGGCGCGCCCTCAGCGGGCTCCGGGCAGCACTTGGAGCAGCGGACGCCCTTCACCATCTCCGGGGCCGTGAACGCGCGCAGCAGCCCTGACACACAAGAGTTTAGCCCTTTATATCTTACACACTCATATTTCAATCATTGTAGTAAAACTGTGTATATTTTAAAGTACTACTGGTTTCAGCAGTTTTGGATACATGTCTGGCCTTGATGTACATATATGTTTCTACATTGTGCAGTCTGTGTTTCTCTTTGTGTGTCTGTTCAGTTTAATTTGTGTATATTTTAATTTAGTTTCTTGAAAGCTCGATAGATGGCGTTATATTCTATTATTAAATCGCGATATGGTTTTGATGCACTGGTATTAAATAAATTTATCTCGCTCTGAGGTACAGTCTTTCATTTGAAGTATCACTGGGGTCTGGGTATTTTGTGCCGAATTTGTACTGTGTGTTTTTGGCTCTTGCAAACTAGAAAGTAGTTCAGAAAGTAGACAGTGTGAAGCTTACCAGCCAGACTGTAGGAACCGGTGAGACCGACGCTCGCGTTGGTCATAGAAAGGGAAATGCTGTCGAACTTGTCGTACCGGATCGGACTCTGTCGGTACAAAATACGGTACAACACACACAAAAGCAACAATCTCTGTTTTGTCAAATAGTAAGCAAATAAATTTAACAAAAATCAAACCCATACAAAATCTATGATATGCCTGTGCCGATCTACAACCGCCCGTTTTCAAGGGGTTGAGCGTTAGGAGAAGGAAGGGCAAACAAACTCATGTAAGGGCAAACAAACTCAAGTAAGTTTAGTATATAAGATGTATTATATACAAATAAATAAAATTGGAGTGTCTGTTTGTAATATTAAAATAACCGGTTTTTTTCTAAATGCATATTTTCAATTTTTGTCTGTCTGTCTGTTTGTTCCGGGTAATCTCCGGAATGGCTGGACCGATTTCGACGGAACTTTCACTAGCAAATAGCTGATGACATAAGGAGTAACTTAGGCTACTTTTTTTAGACTAGCTTCGCCCCGCGGCGTTGCCCACGGTTATAACAACAAACGCGGGTAACACCGCGGTTCTCAGCTAGTTATGTAAATAAATCAGTTCTAAGATAGAAAATAACGCCTACACAGATAAAGAAACAGTGTTAGAACCATCGGACACTAGATACTTTTTGTAATTTCAAAGGCTAATTGATCTGTTGACGTAGAAGCAAATTCCATTCTAAATTTAAATCGCAATAAGCTAATTATTAAAAAAAAAAAACAATTGTTTAAAAACATATCCTTAAAATTTACAAACCCGGTATTTTAATTTTTATAATGTTCCTATACCCAGTGTCACCGTTAAGATAAATCTAATAACACTTCATAATAATAACCGCCATAATCATATACATACATACACTCGAAATACATAACCCTCCTAGTGCAGTTGGATAAAAACAACAAAATTACGAGATTTTGATACGATCAGTGGGACAATCAGACAGTCCTAAGTATTTTTTTTTTTTTTTTTTGACATCTAACACACAACGCCATCTAGTTTCAAACTAAGCAGAGCTTGTACTTTGAAAGCTAGATTGACTGATAGAATACTTATATACTTGTTTTTGTAAATACATACAAAATATTTTACATAGAAAACACCCAAACTCCGAAACAAATATTTGCATAGCATGCAAATATTTGGTACGACCCAGGTAACGAACCCGAGACCTCAGAACAACAGTCGCATACGCTACCACTGAGCCACCGAGGCAGTCAGTCAAATTTCGTACACATGACTCTGAGAATCTGTCAGAGTTACCCATAACACAAGTTAGATCATACCACGGGTATCAGTGTTCCAAACCACTGTCTGTTTCTAAGTTTCTGTATAACTACTTTCAGCTATGTATTTGTTGTAACTTGGGCAATAAATATTTATTATTATTTTTATCTAAAAGTCAAATATAAAAAAAAAACCTCTTAAAATTAATATAAGATATTATAATCATATTTTTAATAATATTTTCAGATATCTGACACACCATCTAGTAGAAAACACCCAAACCCAAATATTTGCAGATCATACAAGCATTTAGTCCGACCCGGGAATCGAGCCCGAGACCTCAACACAGAAGTCGCATACGCACAGAGGCAGTGGATCATTGTTATATGTACATAAATTGAAGTACCTTATGTGAACAAACAGTACATTGTAATCTGGAGGCCAAAGTTCCGCGGAAGGGAGGCGCGGGGGGAGGCCGCGCTGTCGTTGGGGTCACCCAACGACGACCCACTGAGCTCAAGTGGCACAGCGACCGGGACACACCCTTTGTGAGTCGGGGCATCATTGGCTCTGTGGGAAACACCACTACAATTAACACCTGTATTTTATTTCGAGTCAAGTTTGTGTTTTACACATTATTTATCTACCTAATACCTCTTGTAATGTCTCATCACGAAAAAAAACACAATGAAATATATTTTGGTTCATTTAAATATTTTATTTATATATTTTTTTTTAATGTTAGAGGGGGCAGACGAGCAGACTGGTCACCCGATGGAAAATGACTATCGTCGCCCATGAACGTCTGCAAGTCAGGAGTCACAAACGCGTTGCCGCCCTCTTAGGAAGGAGTACGCTCTTTTCTTGAAAGTTATTTTAATTGTAGTGTGTGTAGTGACGGATTAAGAATACGGAATGTCACTATCCCAATTCATCCCGCGGGTGTCGTATGAGCCGACTAAGGGCGCAAAACAACGCAGGACACCGACACTGCAAAAAGAAGGAAAACTTGACACAAACTCTATACCAACCCGTCTGGCCAGCGTGGTATAGTAGGCCAAAACCTCCTTTCTAAGGAGAGGAATATCCAGTAGTGGACTATTAACGGCTGTTGATAACCATATTTTAATTTATAATGCAATTAATAAATTTACAACATTCACTTTCATTATCAATGTTTTTTTTTTCGTAGACGGGATTCAGAGGTTTAAGCTAAACAGCAGTGCTTGGTATTTCATTTGGAATCCAAACAAAGCTGACGCTTGGAATTTTGTTTTCGGTGTTAGAGTGTTTTTGTATATTTCTACAAATTGCTGTAATACTGAATAAATAAACTTTCATTCTATTTTAACTAACAAAACGATTTTCAATTTCTTGCCATTGTAGGCAGCTACGCCACTAAGTACTATGCTTTGGTTTATTGTACCAAGTGTACACCGCATACGTGTAATGATATTATTCTACTACTGACAAAACCCAGTCTATGGGCTGCAGCTGGAAACCAACGTTGGAAGGCACCTGTGGCCATTCAACAGTATGCTGAGCTGCAGGCCTATTGGCACTTTTTGTAAAGAATTTTGCATGTGCCAATAAATTTTCTTTTTCTTTCTTCTCTTTCTTTCTTTCTACTCTTCTCCTTCTAGGAGTCCATCCTGGACTTGTAGAAGGAGAAGAGGAATAGAGAAGACCCAGAAGCTTTAGTGTGACATGTTCAGGGTTGTCGCGTTCGTACCTGGTTCCTCTAAGTCCGGCTCATCAGTAGGCGCAGCGGAAGCCGGCCGGACAGTAAGTGCCGAGGGAGTAGGCGGTGTTGAATCCGCACGGAGGGGGTGTGGCGCAGCTGGCGGGGAGGCGGGCGATGCTAGTGCAGACCAGGCACGGCTGCCGCCTAGCCCGAGCGCGTCGGAGAGACAGCCTGGCTGTAGGAGTTACAACATATTTATTTTATTTCAGAAGATTAGATGATAATAATAATAACCTGCAAAGCCTTGGAAATGTAATCGTGTTCAGATGGGCCGAAAAAGGGAGGTGAATTAGAGTAAGAATAATGGATAGGACGAGGGAGATGGATAAAGGGAGGAGGTCAATCTCGTACTTGTATGTCCGTTCGGCGATGTGTATCTCGGTTATCGTGGTGAAACGTAGCCTATATCCTTCCTTAAAAATCAAACTATCTCCATACCAAATTTCATCAATATCGGTTCAGCGGTTCATAATATTCCATACAAACTTCCACCCCCCCTTTTCACCCCCCAAAATAATTATTTCGGGGATAAAAACTATCCTATGTCCTTCCCTGGGGCTCGAACTATCTCTATACCAAATTTCACCTATATCCGTTAAGCGGTTTAATCGTGAAGAGGTGACAAACAGACATATAGACGGTACTACTCAGTAACAGCTATCCTGTTTCGCGCAACTAAAGTTGTCGTGCTGATGAGTATATAGACTCAAGCACAATTACCTCTCCTGGTCAGAAAAACCTTCATTCATAGACCCCTTCGTCTTCTATCAGCATCCACATTCTTTCACAAACCAGGTCTAATTTACCTTTTTAGCCATAGCCGCAGTCTCCTCTTCTATACATGATAGGAGCACATGAAGTAATTCATGGGCATCCTGCTGGTCAGCCGGCACCACCCATCCGGCTGCTCGGAGTGACTGCAAAACTCCCAATGGACACACTGGTGTACCTCGGGCTGACTCATGTGTTCCATTTACAACTGTTTAAAGAATATTACTGTTACAGTTTCAGAAAACTCAAAAATTCTATTAATTTCCATGACTTTTTCACAAGACTTTTTCCTAATGATCTATAGCTTTCATGTCATTACAAGCTTTGATAGGAAGCAATGGAATGGCTCTCAAAGTAGATATTTGTATAAAATAATGTTAAACAGAACTCATGGAATAAAACTTTTGTGAGAAGCATATATGATCCACAATCATTAATATCCCCATAAGGGTATAAAGAGGCATGTTAATCGCCCATATTTTGCATTTTACTATTACTTTAGTCCCCACTTACGTAATAGGTTACCGGCCAATGCCCATTTATTACAAATACTTATTAGGAATGAAATACATCCAGACACTGATCATCGATCCAACAGGGCCTTAAGACAAACGTCTTCAATGAGTGCGTCCTACTCGTCATGACATCACATCACATCAACAGCCTTTAATAATAATACACCGCTGGACTACAGAATATAGGGGGTTTTAGCCTACTATACCATGCTGGCCATAACGGTTGGTATAGAGTTTATGTCAAGTTTTCCTTCTCTTTGCAGTGCTGTTGTCCTTTAGTTTGCTCCTTTAGTTGGCTCTTAAGACAACCATGGATGGAATAGGGGTGGTGACACTCTGTTTTCTTAATACATCACCACCCAGACCAAAAACTTCATGACATATGGAGCCGAAATTTGGACACTTACAGTATGGCTGGTCCATAAGTTCAAAGTCGCTCAACGTGCTATGGAAAGGAAGTGATCACATCAGGAATTAGGTGATCTGGCAGAAAACCAAGGTCATCAACATAGCCTACTGAATTCCTAAGCTGAAGTGGCAGTAGGCTGGCCAAATTTTTTTTTTATTGTTGGCAGAACCAACAACAATTGGGGAAAACTAATTCTTGAGTGAAGATTGCATCTTGGAAATGCAGGACGCCCACAGGCCAGGCCAGATGGCTGGTAAGAGCTGGATGTGAGAAGCCTAAATGGGAGAGGCCTATGTCCAGCAGTGGACTGCGATAGGCTGATGATGATGATGACAGCCAAACACAGAACAAATAATGATCATGCTTCAATCAAAGATATACCACCTAGTAAAATATTTTTTGTAGGCATCAAGTTAAGTGACCATAATTCTAGCAATGGAGAAAACTATAATGCACTCTTATTACTATTATTGACTAACCGTATCACAACACACGACTGACATGACATTTAATTTATTAAGACTATGGAATTATTATATTTTTCTTATTTATTTCTTATTTTTAAAAAAGACAACTCCCGCATTAGGAATAAATCCTGTGTCGCGGAGGACTTTACAAACATACATGAAACGGACACAAAGAACACCCAGACTCAGAACAACAATTTGTGGATCACACAAAGTGTCGTCCCATGTGGGGTTTGAACCCACAACACTCGGCGTAGTAGGAAGCAGCGTGGCGACCGCTTAAACCACTACGCCATCCGTGCAGTCAATCCATTCAGTCAGTCCATTTTTTGTATGCTTAATTGTGGAGTATGGTATAAGAACCATAAATTGTATGAACTAAAATAAATGAGTGAATCTATTTATGGTGTTGATTAAGAAAGTAATCTATTTATATAAAAATGTTAAGTTGGTTTGTATATGCTTCAAATACTCAAAAAATACTGCATATATGAACATCAATTTTTGAATGCCATAGAACTCACTTCGAAGATTGCTTTTATCTATTTTTTGTGTCAGTTTTATTTCTCGCAACATCAATAGAATTAGTTAACACACAGCTAGTTAATTATATTATAGTGTGAAAGTTCAAGTGAGTTAAAATAAACATCATCAATTATGAAATAAATATTATTCTATTTTATCTTTATATCACACAAACACTACATGTCCATGTTCTATGTTGTCACAATAAGAAAGACTAGATATTTATACATCATATCTATGATATAATCACAAGGTCATAGAATCAAAACAAATACTGTTATGTTATGTTATGTCTTAAAATTTTAGACATAAGAACATGATTGATGGGATCATCGTTGAAATATTTTAAAATTCAAACATTTTCAAATAATCATAAAGTTACCATTAATTAAAACTCAAGTAATAAGTGATTTACTCAATTAAATAATCTTAAACTAAATGTTTACCTTCAATAACTGTGTATAATGTAGTAATCATACTGTTGTGACTATCAGCCTTGGCGTATTTCTTGAGCCATTCGATGAATGTGGGACAGGCAGCCAGTGCCTGCAGCAGTGTGTTCAAAAAACAAGTTCTACCCATGTTCTGGAGCCCCGCTATCTGTCCCCGACGCTTTCGCACTTTCGGTGCTCCACCGGGACCCCATAACACAAAAGCACCCACCACTACAGCAGCGGTCAGACCCGCAGCCACCAAAATCCTGTCTCCACCATCCATCGTCTCAAGCTGTTAAATACGCTTCGCACGAAATTTCACATACTAGCGGTTGAACATTATTCAAAATCTTTTGAAATGATTATGGAACCAATACTTTGTTATTACGTTTTTTCCAAATTTTCGTGAAAAAAAGAAAACCTGCGTTTGACTGGTTTGACTTGTGATCTGACAGTTAGACTTTATAACTTTTTATTTACGCATGTGTATTCAAAATTGCGTTCATACAAATATTAATTTTCTATTTTTGTTTTGTGATTTAAAACAATTTATACTATAAAAATTTGTTACATTCACTATCACCTTAAAATATGTGGTTATTATTACTATTCACCAATTTTATATAATTAATAGTAACAAAATTATTTTGATGATCAAAATTATTTAATTTCCGTAGAATGAGTCGTAACTGTCATGTATTAAGCTGTCAAAAGAATGACAACCAACCTCAAAAGTAGTCAAAATAAACATGATTTATTCATTATTATTAAAAAATAATGTTATCTTATTATGTCATTAACCGTTTCATACCTACAAACACCCAAAAACTAAGAGTACAAATAAGATTTAATCCATTATGTCCAATAGGAAAATCGTGCGCTGACTTGATCTTTCGGCAATTTGTTTAAATTAATGTTTTACTATCAGAATAGTAATAATGATACCCTCGAACACAATATGCGTGTCCCAAGAAGGCCCCGCGAACGCTTTAGCTCTAAACAAAGATTGCTCGCAAGTTGTTATAGCTGGGCGCAATGGTAACTTTTGCATACATAAAATATCAGTTTATTTTCGCTTCCAGTGTGCAATGATGTGTTTTTTTTTTCAGTATTTAAAGTGTTCTCAATTGGTGAAAATGATTTTTCCGAAGTTTGCAACTTAAGAGTGGGAAAGAATTTAAATCTTAATTTTTCATCAATTGATGTGGCCTGGAGTACAATAGAAGGTAAATGTTTATTCTACTTACAAGCTTTCTTTGGGACTTTAATTAATTGTAAAATATCGTATTATCTTCTTTTAATTCTTTTCGTAAAAAGATTTAACACAGGTTCAATTAAAAATGTAATTAACAAACGTTTTTGTGGCTAAACTGTTTTTTTTTTTTCAAACTAAACATTTTTTTCGAAGAAAATACCTTAGCAACTGCAGCAACTAATGGTGCAGTAGTTGTGTGGAACCTGGGCAGGTCTGGCAGATCTAAACAGGAACATGTCTTCTCAGACCACAAGAGAACTGTCAATAAGGTGAGTTTGTAAAAAATGTATGTAATTTATGTTGGACCATCCTTTTTTATGCTATTGCAATTGCACTTCAGTTTGATCACCATTTTGGGACAGTGCTCAGTGAGAATGTATCTGCTCATTCGCCTTATAGACAATGGTATGAATTCTGTTGTTACAAAACTCTCTAAACTAAACTAAAAATCATAAAAAAATCGTTTAGTTCTGTCAATACTATGTTTTCAGAATAGGAAATATTGTTTGACAGGACTATACTAATTTTTAGTTTTGCTTCTGTGTGGTGACGGATTAAGAATACAGAGTGTCACCACCCCTATTTATCCCGTGGGTATCGTAAGAGCCGACTAAGGGAAAAAACTAGGTAGAACAACAGCACGGCAGAGAGAAGGAAAAACCTCCTTTCTAAGGAGAGGCCTATGTCCAGCAGTGGACTAGTAAAGGCTGTTGATGATGATAAAGGCACATTGGGCCTGGAGTTACTTGGACATGGAGATCTTCCATTAATATGAATACCACTCACACAACATTTTTTTTATTTTATCAGGTCAGTTTCCATCTAACTGAGCCAGCACTTCTCATATCTGGCTCTCAAGATGGTATGATGAAATGCTTTGACCTGCGAATGAAAGAAGTTGCCAGGACTTTCATAAGGTAAGAGAAATATTATACAAATATTATAAATGTGTCTCTAATTTATGGAAATTTAAATAAATAAACTTTCTTGTAGGCAGAATTTGATATAAGTAATTTCTAAAGTGTACACTACCACCTAAATACACAGTGTACTATACCACGCTGGCCAGACTGGTTGGTATAGTTGGTGTCAAGATTTCCCCCACAGTGCTGTTGTCCTGCATAGTTTGCTCCCTTAGTCAGCTCTTACGACACCCCAGGATAAATAGGGGTGGTGGTCTTTGCTCTTAATCCGTCACCACACTGTGTACAATTATATTAAATTCAAAGATAATGTTTATTGATGCTAATCGTCCATCTATTAAGCCATTAAATAATAATATTGGCACCATCTAATCTTTGGTACATATTGTCGTCTGAAGCTTTTCTGGACCAACCTTCAAGAAAGGAACATACTCTAACCATGTTGTGATTGATTCATCCTATGTGGGGATTGAACCCACAACAAATAAACCACACTACCATCCATGCAGTCACTTACTTGTACTTATTATATGCCACTTATTACAAAGGAGGCAGACGAGCAGACGGGTCACCAGATAGAAAGAACCTACTGCCGCTTGTGACCGTCTGCATTCAGCAATCACAAGTCAACTATATAATATTTTTTTTTTAACCTTTGGATATATGTATATAATATATATATATCACACACATCTCACACACGGCCGTCTGATCCCAAACTAGGCAGAGCCTGTACTATGGTAACCAGACCGCTGATAAACATACTTATAAGTTTTTAAATACATACATAATATTATAGATAAATTACACCCAGACACAGAACAAATGACCGTGCTCATCACACAATATTTGTCCTGGGTGGGAATCGAACCCACGACCTCCGGCTTAGCAGTCAGGGTCACTAACCACTAGACCAACAGGCCCGTCAAACATATTGAACTCTCCCACAGTAATACAGAGTCTATCCGAGACGTTCAGTTTAGTCCACACCAAGCAAACACTTTCGCCGCCGTCTCCGAGAACGGCAATGTCCAGCTGTGGGACGTGAGGCGACATGAACGGTGTCTTCTCCAGTTCACGGCGCACTCAGGGCCGGTTTTCGCTTGCGATTGGCATCCTGAGATGCCCTGGCTGGCTACTGCTTCCAGAGATAAAACTATCAAGGTACGTTCTCTTATACTTGGTATTTAGACATTAAGTGTGTTGTTCAGCCTGTTACGTACCGCGATCAAGTATTCAAAAGGCATAATGAGATAAAAATATCGTTAATTGGCCTAGGTTTGATTGACCTGACGTTTTGACCAGATTTTACTGGCTGTATTCACAGGCTGATATGAATCGTTAAATTTCGTTAAGATCCAAACTTGGGATATTCTTTTTTATCTTTTTATGGTATAAGGGGGCAAACGAGCAAACGGGTCACCTGATGGTAAGCAACTACCGCCGCCTATGGACACCTGAAACTTAAGTCACAAGTGAATTGCCGCCATTGGAGTCCCTCGAGTCAGCGGGAGGGGGGATTTGGGCTCCTTTAACCTCACTCACTCAGTGAAAGGCAACGAAAGAATTGCTTAACGCTGTTTTTCTGCGAGGCCGTGGTATCTTTTTTCCCTTTTTTATTATTAATTGATGAAATAAACACGCCAATCTAGATTGTATACATAGCATTCTTAAACCTCAAAGATCATCATAACATACAGAACATGTATTAATAATAATAATAATATTCTACCACTTTCACACAACGCCATCTAGTCCCAAACTAAGCAGAGATTGTGCTATGGGTACTACACAACTGATATAAATACATATATACTTTTTTTTGTAAGTACATACTTATTATACTCTAGCAGTGACTGCACGGATGGCGTAGTGGTTTAAGTGGTCGCCACGCCGCTTCCTACTACGCCGAGTGTTGTGGGTTCAAACCCCACATGGGACGACACTTTGTGTGATCCACAAATTGTTGTTCTGAGTCTGGGTGTTATTTGTGTCCGTTTCATGTATGTTTGTAAAGTCCCCCGCGACACAGGAATATATTCCTAATGCGGGCGTTGTCTTTTTAAAAAAGAAAGAAAAAAAAAAGCTGAGACCCGCGGTGTTACCCGCGTTTGTTGTTATAACCGCGGGCAACGCCGCGGGGCGAAGCTAGTCTAAAAAAAGTAGCCTAAGTTACTCCTTATGTCATCAGCTATCTGCCAGTGAAAGTCCCGTCGAAATCGGTCCAGCCGTTCCAGAGATTACCCGGAACAAACAGACAGACAGACAAAAATTGTAAAAAATGTTATTTTGGCATATGTACCGTGTAAACATACATATGCATTTAGTAAAAAGCGGTTATTTTAATATTACAAACAGACACTCCAATTTTATTTATTTGTGTAGATAGAAACACCCAGACCAAATCAAACATTGAATATTCATGCACACAAATGTTTGACTTATTGTTCACTCAAAATTAAAATACTGCTTTATTTGCATAAATTTGCGAGAATACCTCATTATTATTAGCACTATGATGTAGAACGGAAACGATACGTTTAGTAACAGAACGATAGCATATAAATTACCTAGCGAACAAAGTATGCGCAGTGATAATGGCAAAATATTATAATATCTAACTATTCGATAAACATGTAGGTCAAACAGATAACTCCCATATGCTGCTCGCCAATAAATATCTGTTTATTAGTTCCTATATTGTATTACTTCGTGTAATACCTTTAATATTGACTTTGAAAATGAGTTCTTAGACTAGAAGTCTTTTGATCGACCGCAGTGATACCATGGCCTCACAGACACTGGTTTTAAATAATGCTTACGTTGCTTGTCACTGAGTGATTGCGGTTACCGAAGGCCTAACCGTTCCTTTTCGCCTATTTTTTTTTTAAAAGACCCTTGGATTATATCCTGTGTCGCGAGCGACTTTACAAACACACTTACAAAACACCCAGACTCAGAACAACAATTTGTAGATCACACAAAGTGTCGTTCCATGTGGGGATCGAACTCACAACACTTAGCGTAGTAGGAACCGGCTTGGCGACCGCTTAAAGCACTACGCCATCTGTGCATTCGCACTCAAGGAGGGGGCGAGCTCAAAGACTAGCAATTAGTGACTCTCGAGTGACAAGTGGCTTTCCGTCAGGTGACCCGTCTGCTCTTTTGCCCCCTCTACCATAAAAAAGTGAGATTGTCATTATGATATTCATAGGCGAACATAAATTACCTTTATTTATATGTATATAGCATTTACCCACGGCTTCGTTCGCGTAAATGTCAAGTTTGGCAATAAATTTGTCCGGGATAAATAATAGCCTCTATGCTATTCTAGTCCACTTATATAGACCCGCAGTCCAACTAGTTGAACAGAGTGGTTAGACCACTAGCCCGTACCCTTTAGTCCAACTTCGGGAAGAGTTGGACCACGACCACTAAACGACACTAACTAATAAAGACTAAATTCAAATTTAAAATATTCATTATTTCATAAAAAAAAGAGTCTACATAAAAGACGATTTCAAATAATTTCGTAGATCAATACACACAATAGCAACAATCTCTGTTTTGTCGAATAGTAGGGAATTTTTTTTAAATAAAAATTATTCTTATACCAAATCTATGACATGCCTGTGCGGATCCACAACCGAAGTCCAACTAGTTGAACAGAGTGGTTGGACCACTGCCCCGTACCTTTTTAAACAATAAGTGCTAAAAAAGATCAAAATTACGTTAAAACAACTACCGAAACCAATATGGATCCTGTATATATCTTGGCCTATCATAATACAAAAGTCATGAGAGTTCAAGTTATATCTATTGGTCATTGCAATAAATCAAGATATTCAAAACGGTTAACATTCGACCGCCAAGTCCTAAGTAGTGTTGATTAGTATGTGACTAGATCAATTCTTATTTAAAAAAATAATAGTTTCAAAAAACGAATAAACACGTTTTTTAAAGAAAATCAAACTAAAAAATAGAAAATAAATTTTAATAAATTTGAAAAAAAAAGCGTTGGGTGTCTGTTGTCAATAGTAAAAAGCACCCCACGCTTTTTTTCAAATTTATTAAAAAAAAAACGAATTTTTAGTTTGGTTTTTGGTGTGTTTTTTAGTTTTTTAAAACTATTTTTTTTTAATTAGTGTATTGTCATTGGTCCTCAATATATCTACAAAGTTTGAACGAATTCTGACCGTTTAAAGTCAGTCAAAATCACGCCTAAAGGAGTCAGTTACAAACAAACATACAAGTGAAGCTAATATAAAGCGTATAAAAAGAGACACGTGTATTAATATTTGAAAATTTGAATCCTGACTTTTTGTTTTTTAAGTCTAATATAAAATAAACTAGCTGATTTCGCTTTCGTCTCTCATAATATAGGTTCCTATTGATCGTAGCGTGAATTTGCATAACCTATAGGAACTACCTCGATAAAAAAGGCCATAAACTACAACACTAAAATAAACTTTCAAATTGAACCAGTACTTCCTGACCTTAACGCGTTCAACCAACCAAACAAATAAATTCTTCTGCATTATAATATTAGTATAGATTCGACAAGTGCAAGAATTTAATTTAGTAGTTGCAAAGATAAGGACCTAAGCATATTAACTCCTAGCCATAATACAAACAAGGGGTCTCTTAGGTCACATCTCGTCACAGATCTCCAGCTAATGAACTTTGAAACAATCGCCGTGACCCATGGGGCACTGATCATGACACCGCCACAATCTAATGCACTTGTGTCAGCGAAACAGCCACGAGTTTGGTTCTGATAACGTATCAACTATTGACATGTGAGTTTTGCATTGATTTGAGAGGTTCTGTATATTGTTTATATAACTTTATCTTTAACTAGCTGACCCGCGCAACTTCGTCTGCGTCTCTCAATAGTAATAAATTTTCTCCGTTTTTTAAACATTCTTCATTGGTGCTCCGCTCCTATTGGTCTTAGCGTGATGATATATAGCCTATAGCCTTCCTCGATAAATGGGCTATCTAACACTGAAAGAATTTTCAAATCGGACCAGTAGTTCCTGAGATTAGCGCGTTCAAACAAACTCTTCAGCTTTATAATATTAGTATAGATTAGTCGCGTCTGATGCAATTTACACGTGATACAAGAAGGACTGTAGAACTCTGCGGTAATTTATCTTACTATTTTTTACAGAATTTTCATAATAGAGTGTGACGTTTTCGTGATTAACCCCTTACACCGAAACTGTAACCGTTTTTGTATATATCAGAAGCTTTTAGAGGTGGTTCATAGTTTTGGATAGCCTTGATTCTTATTCGGCCTTTCTTCTCAATCGCAGCTATGAGCAGCTTTGACCGGAGTGATACCACGGACTCGGGTCTCCCCCCTCTCTTATTCCTTTTTTTCATGTTAGAGTCTGCAGACGAGCAGACGGGTCACCTGATGTAAAGTGACCATCATGACCGGTCTGCTCGTTTTGAGATCTTATGACAAGCCAAATATACTCCGAAGAGCTGCCTTTTCAGAAGGTTTATGCTATAGTCAAACTCTGCGTGTCTGTGCACTAGATACTCCCTATTCTAGTATACTCAACGCTACACCAGGATGTGGCCAAAACCCTAACAGAAGATATTATGTGTTATCCTATGAGTCATCAGTGATGCTAATATGCTCAAATATAAAAATCCATGTTTCCAGGTGTGGGATATATACGGCAAACCTAATTTGGAGCACACCATATACACCATAGCGTCCGTGGGTCACGTCAAGTGGAGACCGCAGAAAAAGTATGTAACTGGTCTGTTACATTTTTTACTAAAAGTTTTGTCATGAACAAAATAATACTAAAAGTGTTATCATGAACAAATTAATCCTAAGAGTTCTGTCATGAACTATTTAATACTGAAAGTTTTGTCATGAACAAATTAATACTAAACTTTTATCATGAACAAATGAGTAATAACTATTTTGTCATGGACAAATTAATGCTAAAAGTTTTGTCATGAACTAATTAATACTAAAAGTTTTGTCATGAACAAATTAATACTAAACTTTTATCATGAACAAATGAGTAATAATTATTTTGTCATGAACAAATTAATGCTAAAAGTTTTGTCATGAACTAATTAATACTGAAAGTTTTGTCATGAACAAATCAATACTAAAACTTTTATCATTAACAAATGAGTCAAAATTATTTTGTCATGAACAAATTAATACTAAAAGTTTTGTCACGAACTAATTAATACTGAAAGTTTTGTCATGAACAAATTAATACTAAAAGTTTTGTCATGAACTAATTAATACTAAAAGTTTTGTCATGAACAAATTAATACTAAAATGGTTTTCATGAATAAACTGACACTAAGAGTTTCGTCATAAACAAATGTATATTAAAAGTTTTGTCATGAGTCAATCATGAAAAAATATATCTAGGAGTATGTTCTGTCTTGAAATTGTCCAATTTATTTATTTCAGGTACCAAGTAGCATCTTGCGCGCTAGTCCTGGACTGCGCGGTCCACGTGTGGGACGTGCGTCGCCCACACGTCCCTCTCGCGACATTCGCTGAACATCGTGACGTTACAACTGCAATCGCTTGGCTTGCCGAGCCACAGTCGTTTTTGTCTACGAGTAGAGTGAGTTAGGCAGTTTTTTTTTCCGATTTCATTAATATGATATTTTATCATCACATCATCAACAGCCTAAAATAGTCCACTGCTGGACATAGGCCTCTCCTTAGAATGGAGGTTTTGGCCTACAGGGTTTGTTTCAAGTTTGCCGTCTTTTTGCAGTGCTGTTGTCCTGAGCAGGTTGTTCCCTTAGTCGGCTCTTACGACACCCACGGGATGAATAGGAATATTTTATATTAATAGAAAGTTATTAGTATAAGATTGATTATTTTAAAGTGCAATTGAAGTTCAGAGAAGAGAATAGAAGATTCAGCTGCAAGATTTGTGTTTAGTGCCAAACTTTTGGCACTACAAGGAGGAGGAAGCTTAGCCTGGACCTTTTGGCAGCGGAGTCAGACGCAGATATACTTTTCAGTGAGGAACGTGAACTTGCAAGCGCAGTATGGCTCACACTGGGTTTGCTGGTTCGCGACCCCCACTTGAGGGTGTTACGATTGCATTTATATGAAGCCAAATTGAAGATGTGGATATTTTACTTATATTGTATTAACTACCTTAGAGCTAGGATGTTATGTTATATTTTGGAATATAATTTTTTCATTAACCAATTATCTATATCATGTATCCTTGAACCATATATTTAACAATACTTAGGATCAGCGTCCCAATTTTCTGTTCACAAATTGAAGTGTGCATATAATTTGTGTATATTAAGACAGTTTAATCCGGCTCGAAAGACCATGTTAATGTGTAGGTATTAATAAAACATATTGGTGCATAATAGGGTATATAGAGTTATGTATTATCTTTTGTGTGAAAATATTTAAAAATATGCAACATTTTTTTAAATTTTGTTGTCTGTTGTCTACGAATTGAATTGTACACAACGGTTAAGATACGCTTTTTAAACTTAGAAAAAATAAATAAAACAAAACGTCGGTAAAGTTGAATCATTATATAAATCGATGGCACTGTCTTTCAATGTTTTATATAATATATAGCAAAAACTATGTAGACTTTTGGTGATCGTGCGATACGGGTTATCAGGACTGCAGCTTGTACCGTCACCGGTTCAGCGAGGCGGCGCACCCGGTGCTGTGGGCCAACCCCCAGAGCGTGTGCGTGTCGGCGCGGGGCGAGCTGGCCCACGCCGCCCCCGAGCGACCCCTGCCCGCCCCCACCATGGCGCCCGCCGCGCCCGACCGACACGTGCCCGGACTAGGGTCAGTCACTCAGCTTTCAACTTCACTGCCACCGCTTCTAAATCGGACTACCCTTTATTCTCTCAGTAATGCAAACTGAAGAGTATAATAATAATATATCGCTTTATTGTACACCCGAAATAAATATACAACAATTGTCTTAAACTAGGTTAGTACAAATGGCGGCCTTATCGCTCAGAGGCAATCTCTTACAGGCAACCGTGGTATGGAGTGAAAACATGAAGGGTAGGAGGTATTGGATAGTGACTGGTCTATTAAGAAATAGAAAAGATTTTTTTTTTCTTTTTTTTTTTATAAAAACAACTCCCGCATTAGTAATATATTCTGTGTCGCAGGGGACTTTACAAACATACATGAAACGGACACAAAGAACACCCAGACTCTGAAAAACAATTTGTGGATCACACAAAGTGTCGTCCCACGTGGGGTTTGAACCCACACACAATATGAAATCAAAGTAGCTATAAAAAATGATAATTACACATATTATCTATTTGTAGGACTATGGTGAATATATAACATACTAGAGGGAATATACTATGTGCTGAACACGGCTGGTAGTGTCACTAGATACATATAATTAAATAAAGAAGTGTGATTTATAAGTTCTAAATACATATAAGAAATAATGTGACCTCGTCGACACGTCCAGTATATGTATTTCTTTTTATTCAGACGCAAACATCCTACGGCGGGCGCACTATCGAGTGCAGCTCAAGCACAACTAGAGAGAGCCTTCCCAGGAGGTGCTTCATCGACTCTATGCCGGTACCGAGCCGCTTCGGACCGGCCGACCGTGCCCAACGGTTTACCGCAAGCCGCCCTGCCCCAGGGCACAGAACCTCAGGGTAGAGCACTGCCACTAGACTCCCTGTTGCCCCATGTTGCATCGGAGCCTCGCGCTGCACCGTTACACTCGGCCCTGGTGTACTGCGCTCTCAACTATAAAATAAGAGGGGGCAGTCCACACGAGTTGGCGGCTCATAATGCTGAGGTTGCCAGGTCGCAAAATAGACATATGGTGAGTAAAATAAAAAAAAAAGACTATGGGAGGTTGATGTACTACGAAATGACTCGAGTACCCTTTTTTTAGGTGAGTCATGTTTGGGAGATAGTCCGCTGTGAGTACAGTTCGCGCGCGGCGGCAGGGCGGGGCACCCCCGCGCCGCCCCCGGCCCGTGACAGCCTGCCCACACGCCCCGAGCCGCCTCCGTTACCGCCCTACAACTACACTTACACCACCAAGTCAGTATATACACAACGAGCGTGACGACCTACCCCTCACCTCGACCCGTCCCCTTCAGCACCCTACGGCTTTACTGCCACATTCATGGGAGTATCAACTAAAGCTTTATATTAATGTATTTTTTCCTCATCGACAGTGCTGTAGAAGAGGAACCCTTAGAAGAAGTGGAAGACTGGGCGGAGACACAGTTCCACAACAGTGGGGTGTTGGGCAAACCCACGTTGAGCATATACATACCCCCGAACAAACAACCTGCACACGTTAGGAATGATGGTAAGTTTGATTGACTAACTTTTACCCATGGCTTCGCATGCGTTACAGTAAATTCTTTTAATCAATTCAGGTCCAAGATGTCTAGACTATTTAATTCCCAGACTCAGCCGGCTGGGTGTCAGCCGCTTCAGCTCACTACGTGGACGTGGACGCTGTGGACTGGACCCTGCCTGAAGAGGCCTTCCCTCTAAGGACGGCTCCCCCGCCCCCGGCGCCGCAGCACCATCAACAGATTCACACGTCGCCAGTACACCACCAACACCAACATCACGACGAGAAGGACCCCATCCGTTAGTATATTTCATTTAGTGACCTTCCGACAACAGCCAATTGGTATTACAGGACTGACCTGCTCGAAATATTGCTTGCACTCCCCAATTTATCATTTTCTTTTCTTTCCTTTTGCTGTTCTCCTAATGTTCCCCATCTAGTTCTTAAAGTACCTCATGAACAGGCTTTAACAGTCCACTGCTGGACATAGGCCTCTCCTTAGATAGGATGTTTTAGCCTACTATACCACGCTGCCAGACGGGTTGGTATAGTGTTTGTGTCAAGGTTTCCTTCTCTTTGCAGTGCTGTTGTTCTGCGTAGTTTGCTCCTCTAGTCGGTTCTCACGACACCCACGGGATGAATAGGGGTGGTGACACTCCGTATTCTTAAACCGTCACCACACGGCTAGTTCCTACTAATAGTTTCTGGTCGACAGCAATAATGAGGACCCTTGTTACGTGACGAAAACAAAAAATATAAGTGGCAAAATGTCTCTGGCTGTCTCTGAAACTCTTTGGGGATGTAAATAAGTGCCTATGCCCGGGTAATGTATGACACAAACTAAAGCAACTTTCTTTTTCACAAACTTAGCAAGGCAGTGCGAGTAATACATTAGGATCTTGTAAGTTTTAAAATTATAACAGATTTTCCCCTCAATATTATATTTAAATTCGTCTGTATAGCGTCTCATCGCGGCAATGGCGGTGATGGTATGTCTCCTGGAGGCAGTTCCTCTCCAGGGTCGGGCTCAAGTGGTTCAGCGTGTACCGCGCCACCTAACCTTCAAGCACATTACAACAATATACAGGTTTGTGTTAAAATTTTAGGGACCCCTAAAGCTGGCAAAATAAGGAATGAGTAAAACAATTCTTCATGATTTAGGTGCAACAGAAGTCGGTGATTCTTTTTAATAATCATTACATCATCATCACATCATCAGCCTTAAATAGTCCACTTCTGGATTTAATGCTGATTAAATTTGTGTACCAACCTTAGGCCGCGGGAGACCTTGGCTCATGCCTCTAAGGTCTTGGGGCGGCGTCCGCGTGTGCCGGACGTCGCCTAAAGAGAGGGTCCACTGAGACGGAGCCCGCGTCAGGAGCGGGCCGGCGCTGGGAGGGGTCCAGAAGGCGATAACTACCTGGACCCCTCCTAAACTGGAAGCGCAAAGAAGGCACACCGTGTGGTTTTAGTCGGTTCGAGTCCGACACACCGCCCGGCGAACGAGAGCCCCGGCGGGGTGACGGTCCGAGGGGATTTCCACACGTAAAAAAAAAAAAAAAAATGCCTCTAAGGTCTTCAGTAACACTTTTACCGACGTATTTATGTGTGTGGCTCGTGGATCATGACGTATACTCCCACCGGAGTCCTTAAAGACTATACAGATACACTTCTTTACATTGTATACTAGCCCAAGTTTCTTTGCGTATTGTTCACAAGTATATAGCAACTCTCCGATTCTCCGACTCAGCCGTCGGGTTCACTGGGACCGTATCGTCGGCGTAGCTAGGTTTACACAAACATTTACTGGTTAATAAAATTCTTCTTGTTGTTTAGCATAAGCCTTTTAAATTCTTCTTTCCGTAAGTTTCTAACGTATCCATTTGAATTAGATTTACTGTATATTTTTTTCTTATAGCGGTTATGTATCTTCAGGGTCACTCGTTTGTTTTACATAAACAAATCTTACGTTAAAAAATCATCTTATAGATTTAGTTATTCGATATTGACATGGTATGGCGGCAGGCGGAGGGCGGGGCGGGCGAGGCGGGGGCGGGGGGCGCGCTGGCCGTGCGCGAGGCCGCGTGCTGGCGCGCGCCGCTGGAGCTGGCGCCGCTGCTGGCCGCGGCCCTGCGCGCGCACGCCGACCTGGGCGACGTGCAGACCGCCGCCGTCGTCATGCTCGTGCTTCAGGACCACAGGTGGGACCCGACCGACTTCACTGTTTGACCTGTTTTTAAGAGTGCTCGAGAGTAGTAAACCATATTTTCATTACAGGAGTGACCTGTATCCATATATTGAGGAAAGTCTACAAGAGCATTGGTTACTCGGTTACATCGAACTGCTGCAGAGACATAAATTATACAACGTTGCAACGGAGGTAATACATTTCTAACATAAAAAAAAAATAGAAGCAGTGCTTTTTGCAATATCTAAATTGAAGTCACAAATTTGTTAAATGTTCATCGTGAATTTATAGGAAGGACCTAATATAGACCCTTGCGGCATCCCTGTTTATACGGACCTACCAAATTTTAATGTTTTATTCTCCACTATAGAAAGAATAAACTCAGATTAAATAATGTATCTTTAGTTTTCCAAGCAGATTTTATACGTAATGAACCATACAAATATCATACGTGTTCAAAACAGTCTAAAGCTTTGGTAATGTCATAAATACGGAATAACTACTACATAAGTTTTGCTTCTTCAAATCCTCAAAGAAGATAGTATCGTATACCTGCCCATCTAAACTGGTTTCCCCTACTTTATTTATTTTATTTTTACAACTCATGCACTTTTGACAAATTGTCGTACTTAAAGTACGACAATTTGTCAAAAGTGCATGATTGCTTAAGGTGTTTTTTACCAATCAACATTTGGTTGACGCAGAGAAAACAGTAGGTAGGTGCAATTTAGTTAAAATTAGTTTTGCAGTATATATTAAATTCGGCAAATCTTAATATACCTAAATTTGTTTGATACATATGAAAATTTGTTGTCAGGTTGTCCGTTGCGCGTGGTTGAGCTCTGTGTGGGTGCTCTCGCAGCAGTCCACGGTGGTGGCGGTCTGCTGCGGGCGCTGCGGCCGCCGCACGAGACCGCACGCGCCCTGCGACTCCTGCCACCCGCTGCTGCGCCACACGCCGGACCTGTGCGCGGTGTGCCACCAGGTACCTGCCCCCCTCCTATGTACAGTTAGGTGTCGCACGGCTCCTGCGACTCCTGCCACCCGCTGCTGCGCCACACGCCGGACCTGTGCGCGGTGTGCCACCAGGTACCTGCCCCCCTCCTATGTACAGTTAGGTGCCGCACGGCTCCTGCGACTCCTGCCACCCGCTGCTGCGCCACACGCCGGACCTGTGCGCGGTGTGCCACCAGGTACCTGCCCCCCCTCCTATGTACAGTTAGGTGCCGCACGCCTCCTGCGACTCCTGCCACCCGCTGCTGCGCCACACGCCGGACCTGTGCGCGGTGTGCCACCAGGTACCTGCCCCCCTCCTATGTACAGTTAGGTGCCGCACGCCTCCTGCGACTCCTGCCACCCGCTGCTGCGCCACACGCCGGACCTGTGCGCGGTGTGCCACCAGGTACCTGCCCCCCTCCTATGTACAGTTAGGTGCCGCACGCCTCCTGCGACTCCTGCCACCCGCTGCTGCGCCACACGCCGGACCTGTGCGCGGTGTGCCACCAGGTACCTGCCCCCCCTCCTATGTACAGTTAGGTGCCGCACGCCTCCTGCGACTCCTGCCACCCGCTGCTGCGCCACACGCCGGACCTGTGCGCGGTGTGCCACCAGGTACCTGCCCCCCTCCTATGTACAGTTAGGTGCCGCACGGCTCCTGCGACTCCTGCCACCCGCTGCTGCGCCACACGCCGGACCTGTGCGCGGTGTGCCACCAGGTACCTGCCCCCCCTCCTATGTACAGTTAGGTGCCGCACGCCTCCTGCGACTCCTGCCACCCGCTGCTGCGCCACACGCCGGACCTGTGCGCGGTGTGCCACCAGGTACCTGCCCCCCCTCCTATGTACAGTTAGGTGCCGCACGCCTCCTGCGACTCCTGCCACCCGCTGCTGCGCCACACGCCGGACCTGTGCGCGGTGTGCCACCAGGTACCTGCCCCCCTCCTATGTACAGTTAGGTGCCGCACGCCTCCTGCGACTCCTGCCACCCGCTGCTGCGCCACACGCCGGACCTGTGCGCGGTGTGCCACCAGGTACCTGCCCCCCCTCCTATGTACAGTTAGGTGCCGCACGCCTCCTGCGACTCCTGCCACCCGCTGCTGCGCCACACGCCGGACCTGTGCGCGGTGTGCCACCAGGTACCTGCCCCCCCTCCTATGTACAGTTAGGTGCCGCACGCCTCCTGCGACTCCTGCCACCCGCTGCTGCGCCACACGCCGGACCTGTGCGCGGTGTGCCACCAGGTACCTGCCCCCCTCCTATGTACAGTTAGGTGCCGCACGCCTCCTGCGACTCCTGCCACCCGCTGCTGCGCCACACGCCGGACCTGTGCGCGGTGTGCCACCAGGTACCTGCCCCCCCTCCTATGTACAGTTAGGTGCCGCACGCCTCCTGCGACTCCTGCCACCCGCTGCTGCGCCACACGCCGGACCTGTGCGCGGTGTGCCACCAGGTACCTGCCCCCCCTCCTATGTACAGTTAGGTGCCGCACGCCTCCTGCGACTCTTACCATCCTCTGTAACACCCGTGTTTCTTTTCCAAGATCCCCTCTATTTCTATAATTTGGCAGACAGTTAACATGATAAAATTATGTTATGTCTAGATCGTTCGCGGTCTATACGCCTGGTGTCAGGGATGTTCTCACGGTGGTCACCTTCATCACATGCGCAAGTGGATGGAACAGCACCAACTGTGTCCAGCTGGTTGCGGGCACACCTGTCAGCTTGGCTGACATCAGCACCCTGAGGACACCTTCAGATAAACTGATGTGACGCAACTGAAGTGGCACTTTCTTGTTAAAAATCCAGACATGTTCTTGTGTTAAATAATTCTGATTTTTACTCGTTTACGTATAAGACTAAGATTTAATATTTGATAACGAACGTGACGAATAAATGACTAACTGGACTTAAGTGACTTAGTATTAAGTAAAGATGAACAAATAACTTAGAGTTATTGATTAGAGCAACCGGTCTAGGTTGTTGTGTTTCAAGAACAGCCCGTAATACATGCTGTTTTTGAGTTTTAAATCCATCAGAATCTTACTAAATGCAAACCTCTTTGTGTATTATATACATGGATAGCTGAATATATCCTTAAAATACAATTATGTATATACAAATTTATATATACGCTAGATGTCGCTACTATCTTCACCACATTCATAGTGTTGCCAGTGATTAAAAATCACAGATTAGTAGTAAATACAATATTTGAACGAAACTTCTTTGTAAGCACGTAGCCATATATATTTTTAAATCTTTCTTTTAATACAAGATAGAGTTATATTATAGGAAACTAGTCCTTACCTAGTCTAATATAGAATATTATATTGCTTGCAGATATAAAACAATACAATTTCTTAGAACATGAATTAAATAGAGTAGTAAATAAGGCGGTCTCGAATTAACAAAATAAAAAGTGAGCGGCGTATTTCCTTCTCGTACGCACATACGCACTCTTACACGATAGAAAGAGTCAGAAAATGTTGCAATAGGGGCATAATGCTTTTACTAACGTTGCGATGTTTTCCAGCCAACAACCACACAGCCACAAGCCACGTTACGAAATTACTTTAAAATACTTCGTTTATACTTATCTAGGAGACATGTTACAGAAAGATTGTGATATGTGCAGGTGATAAGTGGATCTGTTAGTCTGTAATAACATTTAGATTTCTATATTTTTCTTTCAAGATTTTGTGATTTTTCTAAAAAAGGAGATGAAAAATAATATTTATAAATAAAGCCTGATTCATTTTATTTTCAATTTAAAAAAATAACGTTTCCTTTTCGCACGGACATGTCCGGACAAGTCCTGATATACAATGCCAATATTTTTTTATAAGTTTTCTAAGTACATATTTTACATATTAAAATAATGATTTTTGTACAATAATATCACCACACCATGATGTAAATTTTGAAGGAATTTGTTATCAGATGCTACTAGAAATAATTTGATTATAACAATACCATATACACGGCTGATTACATGGATACAGGGCAAGGACCATTCTGTATACGGCTGATAAAAAATAACTTATTTGAAAAACAACTGCACGGATGGCGTAGTGGTTTAAGCGGTCGCCACGCCGCTTCCTACTGCGCCGAGTGTTGTGGGTTCAAACCCCACATGGGACGACACTTTGTGTGATCCACAAATTGTTGTTCTGAGTCTGGGTGTTCTTTGTGTCCGTTTCATGTATGTTTGTAAAGTCCCCCGCGACACAGGATTTATTCCTAATGCGGGAGTTGTCTTTTTTTAAATTAAATTAATTAATTAATTATATAGATGGGTTTACTACTACTCACTTGGCCTATGGTCTTATCATCACATTGGGTCAGTGCAATATGGAATAAATTAGTAAATATTTTGTATACATAGAATGCACATACCAATGCAAATCGTAGCATCGTAATATTCGCAAAAAAAAAGATATATTGTGATAAAAAAGCAACCTTCGAAATACTTATAAAATATTTTTCGTTTTTTTTTTTTCCTTTTAAAAAGACAACACCCGCATTAGGAATATATATTCCTGTGTCGCGGGGGACTTTACAAACATACATGAAACGGACACAAAGAACACCCAGACTTAGAACAACAATTTGTGGATCACACAAAGTGTCGTCCCATGTGGGGTTTGAACCCACAACACTCGGCGTAGTAGGAAGCGGCGTGGCGACCACTTAAACCACTACACCATCCGTGCAGTCGAGTTTAACAACTGTTTGTGAAATTTATTTGCCATGCCAACTTAAAGTAAAAAAAACTATATTATGTTGATATCATACAACTACAGATTGGCCATTATGTACTCAATTTTAAGTTTCCAAGTTAATATATATTTTATATAAGTTGTGTATTGAGGATTACTTTTTGTATTCCTAACCTAATATTTAAGTTCACTTTTCAAGTTGGTTAGTGCTGCTTTTGAAACAATTTGTATAAATATATTAGTTATAAGATCAAAGCATACAGACAGACTGAATTTAAGGGTAATATTTAGTAATTAATGTTTTATATGGTAATAAAAATGCACCAATATTAGACGATTGTTTTATTTATTCTCATAATTATTTACAGAAAGTATTTTGTAAATTAGCATTCTAAGATAGCGCGCTTCTAATATTTAAATTAATAAAATTCTTATAAACCATGATAGAATTGTATAATCTTCGTAAATCTTAATGTTCTGTCAATGTTTATAAATTTCAAGGATGTCCGTGGGTGTCGTAAGAGAGCACGAGGGACTTCCTTTCTAGGGTATACCTGGTTATTAGTACTCGAGGCGGCGTGCGATTTTAGTCGGTTCGAGTCCGACATGCCACCGATATCGGTGGTATCCGAGGGGATTTCCGCACGGAAAAAAAAAGGGTGTCGTAAGAGCCGACTAAGGGCGCAAAACAACGCAGGACACCAGCACTGCAAATAGAAGGAAAACTTGACACAAACCCTGTACCAACCCGTCTGGCCAGCGTGGTATAGTAGGCCAAAACCTCCTTTCTAAGGAGAGGCCTATGTTTAGCAGTGGACTATTAAAGGCTGTTGATGATTATGCCTAAAATAGGTAAATTTGCATTGCTCCGGACAAAACTTCGTGGTTGTCGTAATTAATTCCTTTATTACTTCGTCAAATCTGTGCAATTAACAACAACAAAAATGATTCGTTATTAACTGTTAAACACACTATTATACTCGCAAATTGCTAATGCGCAGGAACTTTGTCACACACAGAGCCACGTGACGTCATCCAAAATAGAAAAATACAGCTTGCTAAAAAAGAAATGCAATTGTAAATTTAATAGGTTAATTATTAAGTTTGACAGATTTGATTTGATTTGATTTTACGAAAAAACTGATGTTTGATGACATTTAATTAATCTCACACCTTGGAAATAGGTATCTATCTAAATGAAAAATGTTTGTGTGATTTTCAATGTTTATTAGAAAAGACTTATTAGTAATATAACTATATTAATAATATAATTAGGTTAGATTTTGATTCAATTTAATAAAAATCTAACCTAATTCTTCAATCCCACTCATACAATCTAAATCAGATTGAGAATTGTTTTCTAACTCTGAGTCTGTTGTATCTGATTCAGAATCATTTCCGGTATTAATTATAAATAAATCATCAACTAGTCGGTCTTTACGCCAGTATTCTTTTTCCAGCTTTTTGACGTGATTGACCTCTTTTTTCCAATCATCAGGAGTAATGGATTGTAATGCCTCTAATGTTATCGATTCGATTCTACTCTCTAACTGTGCGACAATTTTATCTGAGACTCTTTGTTTCACCAAGTTTCAAATATACTCAATGGGATTGAGGTCACAATTATACGGCGGTAGTCGAACAACTTCATGGCCATGTGCCGCTAATAATTTGTCCATAATATATTTTTTTGGAACTTTGTGATTTTTTATCAATAAATATAATTCTGGTTTAGTAATGTGAACAGGGAACTCAATATTATTAGCTTGGAGCCACTTTATCATTTCTTCCTTTTTTGAACACATATTCGGCGTTCTGTCTTCCTCTTTGCTGTGATATGGGGCGTTGTCCATAACTATAATACAATTAGGTGGTATGTTAGGAATAAGCTTTTCTTTCAACCATTTACTGAAATTTTCTGTGTTCATCTGGTCGTGGTAATCACCAGTTTTACCGTTAAACATTTCACTACCAGCGTGAACTATAATCCAGGGCGACCAGGGCTCTCATTTTTTTTTACTCCCACATCCGTATCTGATTGCCAACACTTTTTTACTGTATAGTGAGCATGAATCCAAGTCTCATCAATATAAATAACTGGCTTTTTGTCGGCGCCAAGAGAATCATTATTTTTCATGCGGCGTAAATACTTAGCCCTCCATGCCTGTATATTAGGTCTTTCAATTAATGTTAATCTGTTTTGATAACATTTTTTTAAATCTATAACCTAAATTATCTTTCATAATTTGACGTAAGGTAGTCTCACTCCCTTTATAGTCTAAATCTTGTTTAGCTGCAGCCATAATTTTTCTCATAGTGGCACTTCCTTTCGTACTATGTATATAGAATTTATTATATTTCTTAAAGCTGCGAGAGAAAAACCATCCAAAAATTCCTTTTTTCCCCTCTTTTTTTTAACTGGAGTTTTAATTTTACTGCCACTAGCCACAGCTGTTTGTTTTTCGCGCCTTGATTTTGCTAGTGTATTTTTTGATATCCCTGTAGCGCTCATTACGCGCTCTGTGACCTTGGTCGTATTTTGTAAGTATTTTGAAATTTCTAATACCGTTTTTTTAGACATCACTACGTCTTCACTAGTGTCGGGTGCAGCTTTTAATGATCTAGTTACATTCTGATTCTGAAGTAGTAGCATAGTGTCCTCTTTCTCTTGTACAAAATAATTGTCCACTTGAATAATAATTTCACGTGCACGGCTATTAATTATTTTCTTACTTATTGTAACAAAACTATAACAATATAACAAAACTTAACACTGATAACAAATAACAACAAAGAAAACAACAACAAGATAACAATCAAACAAAAACGCGTAGGTACTCGTCTCTCGCAATTCGCATCAGCCAGAATAATGCTAACGGTACAGTGTCTAATGTCAATGTCAACAAAATACGTCACCAAAATGGCGGCCAGGCGCATTAGCAATTTGCGGGGATAATAGTGAAATAATTCTTAAATATCTATTTAAACATATCGTTTTTAGAAAACGTAGGAACGCGTTTTATTG